GCAGCCCAGAAGCCTGTGGGAGGATTTATAGCAGCCCTCATACCAGAGGTAGTTCCAGAAGAAATTAAACCTCACTATACCCCAGAAGAGAGGAAGTGGGCTGAACAGGAAGGAGCGGTTGTGAAGGACGGTTGGATGATCCTGCCGGACAATAGGATTTATGTACCTCATCACCTAGCAGGCACAATTGTAAGAAATTATCATGAATCTACTCACCTTGGCGGTACTGCAACCAGAGAGAGTCTCAGTCGGAAGTTGTATATTATTAACCTATCACAATTAGCAACTTGCATTTCACAGAAATGTGTTCTTTGTGCTAAAAACAATCCCAGGCAGGGACCGGTACAACCTCCTGGAATCCAACATGTGGGATACGTCCCCATGGAAAGCCTAATTGTGGACTTCACAGAGCTGGTCCCTTCTAAGGGATTCAAGTACCTCCTTGTGTTTGTAGATACCCTTACCGGATGGGTTGAAGCTTTTCCCACCAGGACTGAAAAGGCACGAGAGGTAACTAAGAGACTCCTCACTGAATTGATCCCGAGGTTTGGATTACCTAGATGCATTGGAAGTGATAATGGGCCAGCGTTCATTGATCAAGTAGTACAAGAAGTATGTCGAGTCCTACAAGTGAAATGGAGACTGCATGCAGCATATAGGCCTCAAAGTTCGGGGAAAACTGAAAGAATGAATCGGACTCTGAAAACCCAATTGGCAAAATTAACCCAGGAAACAGGATTGGGATGGGTAGATGTGTTACCCATAACACTGTTTCGTGTTCGGTGTGCACCCACAAAAAGACTTAAGTTGTCACCTTTTGAGCTCCTGTATGGGAGGCCACCCTCCTTTGTTCAGGATATTCCAGCTGACCTCAAACAAATAGGAGACCATGTGACACAGGGACAAGTGCAATCTCTCTCCCGTGTTTTTGTTTCTCTTAACAGGTGGGCCCTCGAGCGCACGCCGTGCAGCATTGCCGAGCCGATTCATCAGTTCCAGGCTGGCGATAGCGTATGGGTGAAAGAGTGGAAACGTGATCCACTTGCACCTAAGTGGCGTGGGCCTTACACCGTCTTGCTCTCTACTCCAACAGCGGTGAAGGTAGCTGAGGTGACCCCCTGGATTCATCACTCCCGTTTGAAGAAGTCCGAAGGCAGTTGGACGTGCAAAGGTGACCCCTCTAATCCTTTTAAACTGACTCTCTCCAAAAACCCCTGTATCTAGCCCTACGGGGAACGGGCTAGGTCACGGGCAACATTAGACGACCGGCCTGCTGCAGCCACAACCTGGAAGCTGGCTGACCTGCGCACGCCTGAAGCTTGAGGAGCGTCTGAACCAGCGATTGTGAACAGGAAGATTCTCTTATACAATTGATTGACTGCCCCCCCTTGTGGAACAATTATCAGGGATATTACTCATTGGGGATCCTCGGGATATATGTTTTGGTCTTGGTGGTTCCCCATTTCTGTCATTGGGGGAATTATATTGGGCCTAATATTTTTTTGTTATCACAATAAGGTAATCTTTTGTGGAAGAAATGCATATACTAGACATCAACATGATTTTATTATTAATCCTGATCCCTTGGGAAGGGGAAGGGTCCTTGAATCTGACCAAATTTGCTAAATATGGATTCCGCCATGACCACAATATGTGGGTAGGCTTAGCTGAGATGGTAGCCAATGTTACAAATAGGACCAATTGCCTTGTTTGCTCTCTTGGACCAGATGATTCAGAGGGAGGTATGCCCTTATTACCGATACCATTAAATGCCATTGGTATGGTAGGCGAAATGCCACACCAAACAGAAGTACAGAATTTCCCCGGATGGAACTCAACTAAACCAATACGAGTTATACCTGTGCAAGGGGAATTCTGTGTACATAAATTATCAGCTGCAGCTGATTCTACCATGATAGGCTCTTCTCATTGCCACTATACTTGGGATTATATTAAGAATAGTCAAACCTGGGCAAACGGTACTACCTATCGAACTCGGAATACCTTGCCCTGTGCACCTCCTTTTATTCATGCATGGAAACTGGTGTGGAACATAACTGTGACAGAAAAAGGCAATCTAACATACTGCACTGTGAACTCTATGCCCCTTTTGATATTTCGCCTTATGCACTCCACGTACCAAAAACCTCAGACCCGATGGTTGTGGTGGATATGTGGAGAATGGGCATACAAGCAACTCCCTCCCAAATGGAGTGGGACTTGTTTCCTGGGATGGGTATTACCACCAATGTGGATTATGCCCACTAGTTCGGCAAAGCGTACACGAAGAAATGCTGATATTTCTCATATAGCAGGAGGAAGTACCCAAAGTTGGAGTGATACTGATGATTGGCCACCAGAGCGCATTATAGCCTATTATGAGCCTGCCTCCTGGAATCCTGATGAGCTCATACAAGGGGCACGGGATCCTATTTATAATCTAAACAGAATAATTCGATTGCAAGCAGTAGTGGAACTTGTAACCAATGCAACGGCCCAGAGTTTGAGACTTATTGCACAACAGTTGGATGAAAGTAGAGCCGCCATTTTGCAGCTGAAAATGGGAATGGATTATGTACTTGCCAGGCAGGGAGGCCTATGTGGAGTCTTGAACTTGACAGGGAATGCCTGTTGCTTTAACATTTCTGATAATGGTGAGGCAATCCGTGTGTTGGCCACAAAGATGGAGAGTATAGCACATGTCCCAGTACAAATATGGGAAGGATGGGATATGGGATGGCTCACCAATTGGTTACCTAATGTTGCGGGACTCAAAGGGATACTATTGTCTTGCTTGTTTTTCTTGACGGTAGTAGTAATGGTTTTATGTACGGTGCCATGTATCATTTCATGTTTTAGAAGTACAATTAGCAAGATGATTTCAAATGAAACTTTACCTCATATTATGGCCCTATACAGAGCTTTACCTCAGGAATATGACGAAGGTCAAGCTATCAAGGACACTTGGGATGAAGGTCCTTGAGCTTGAAAGGGGGGAATGAGGCATCTGATCAAAATCTGCTTTGAGCTTAAAAAATATATTTGTAAATATATTTTTCTCTCATGCCAGGGAGAAGACCAGCTGAATACTCTGGCAGCTGTTCAAGGGGCCCCACTGCTATAAATAGCAGTATTTCAAGGTTGTAAAAGGAAATTAGAGCCAGAGAGCAAAAGGTCACACTGACCAGAATACAATCAAGCTGTAAAAACACAATTAAGAACTGGTAAATAGTGAAATTTATTGTTTAACAGAAGACTCGAGCCATAAGGTTAAAGGTTAAATGGAAGAGGTTGCTCTTAGAAACAGCTGCTGGTTAGGGAAAAGGCCTCTCTCCAAACTGTTTTGAAGCTTCAGAGAATTTACTAAGTTCCTTCTAATTTGAAAAGGCCTTTCCTTCTAAAAATCTATCTATGTTATGTATGAAATATATTGGCTTAAATGTGATTATGCAAAGGATTTAGAAAGTAAGAAATGTTAGATTCTTATGTTAGATTCCTATTATGGTGGGTGAGAAGGTGAACTCAAGATCTCTTTAAGATAAAAAAATTAGAAACCATGCACCATCTGCTTTAGCCATCTGGTTTGCGGTGAATAGGGCAACAGGGGCCAAAGGTTATCTGGTAATTGAGGTGCCTGGTCGAGGTAAATGTAAGATATATGGCTACTTGTCTGCCATTTATGGATACAAGGAAATATAGCTTTTTGTCTCCCATAAAAGGAAATAGGAAATGGGTGTATCTTTTATGATTGGTTCTAGCAAACAACCAATAGGAATTTCAACCAGGCTGATTGGACAGAGGCAGCCAAAGGAGGAGCAAGGGGGCTGGGCTGAGGAAATATAAGTGCTGGCCATCAGGGCTGGAGTAGGCAGAGCTTTGGTATCCATATACCACTGTGTCTCTCATTTATTTGTCTGACAAATAAATTATTATTTTAATTTCTCTATTGCTGCGTTGAATATTTCATTCCAGCTAAGCGTTAACCACAAGCAGGGTGCTACATGTTTATTCAAAGATACCTGCTCTTTTTGGACAGGTCTGCTGGGATAGTTATTGATAGTTTGGGGGTCTCTGGAAGAATTTCCGGCTACGTGCCAAGACTTCAGGAATGAGATTATTGCCCCTCTCTTATTGTCCACTCCGGGTCGCCCAGCCACCGCCCCAGTGTCCTTTCTCTTGGCAGATCAGGATGAGCAGGGGACAGCAAAGGTGGCAAGGTTTTTAGCTGGGGCAGTCAGGATAAGACCCACTATTTGACTACTGATTCCAAACCCTAAAAGGAATTTTATATAATTGACTTTTTATTTCTGTTCTTGGTATGTTGCTGTTTTATTGCTGATGGCTGCTGCAAATAAAGATTCATTCATTCATTCCCGGAGGAGAGATGGACAGCTGAGCGGCTCCTTTGCATCTGCCCAGCTCGCTGAGCTCTTCGACAGGGGCGCCTCTGCCCAAGGCGCGTCTGCAGGGGGCGCTGTCTGGCCAGGAATTTGGCCCTTGGAACGACCGGAGACACGAGGCGGCGCTGCTGCGTCTTCGGAGGAGGAAGGAGGAGGAGGGGAACACGTGTCTCGAGATGCGCATCCGGGAAGCATCCATGTGCAGGCGCACCGCAGGGGGACGCTTTGCTAGCCGCCCAGAGTTGCTGGGGTATAAAATTATATTATTAATATTAATATTAATTTTGATATTAATATTTATTATTAAAATATTAATATTAAAATATATTATTAACATAGTAATATTCGAATACATCATTGCTATATTATTAGAATATATTATTTATCTAATTATATATTAATATTAATATTGATTAATAACAACAACAACGAAACAACAATATTATAACTATTATTATTATTATTATATTAGGATCCCTTGGGAGTTGGGAAATTTAAGAAAGAAGGAAACTGAAACCTGCCCGGTGCCCCCGACACGAGCCCCTCCTCTCCTTCCGGGTCCCCTCGAGGCCATCCAAACGACCCCCTCCCCGGCTCTCAATGCGCAGCCGCGCCCTGCGGAGCGGAGGCGTCCCAGGGGACCCGGAAGCTGCCGATCCCGGCGCGAGTCTACCCAAACGCGGCCGAGTCTATACTATAGGCGTGGCTCCCTCGGCGCAGGCGCAGCACCGCCTCCCGGGCATGCGCGGACGGGCGGCGCAGGCGCAGTGCGGGGGGCCAGCTGCTGGGCGAGGGGCTTCGGGCCGGGGCCGCGCGGCGGGAAGAGAGGTGAGCCCCGCCCCCTCCCCAGCCCCGCCCCCTCGGGGACCCCCCCCCCGGGACCCCCCCCGGCCGGCAGCGGCGCCTCCTCCTCCTCCTTCTGCTGCTGCTGCTGCTGCTGCCAGCCCGTGCGGGAGAGGCTAGGCTGGGTCGGCTGGGGGGGGGGAGAGGGAGACCCCCCACCCCTGGCAGGCCGCCCCCCCCGCTTCCCGGGCCTCTCCTGTTCCCCCCTCCCCAGCCCCGCCCCCTCGGACACCCCCCCCCCGGCCCGCAGCGGCGCCTCCTCCAGCTGCTGCCAGCCCGTGCGGGAGAGGCGGGGGGGGGAGAGGGAGACCCCCACCCCCTGGCAGGCCGCCCCCCACCCCCGCTTCCCGGGCCTCTCCTGCCCCCCCGCCCCATCCGGGTCCTTTCACCCCGCCCCCCCCCCCCGCCTCGACCCCCCCCCCGCCCCACTGGCACCTGACCCTGTCACGGGGGGGGGGGCTGGCAGTAGGAGCAGGGCCGGATTGAGGTTGGAACGGCCCTCAGCTCCTGAAGGTAACGGGGCCCTTTCCAGGTCCAGCTGTCCTTTGTCCACAACAAATGGACCCTGTTTTCTGTGTCAAATAAACGCTACGCAGTATGTTCATTGATGGACCTCGTAGGCATCTCATTGGCACATCACAGAATAGGTATTTTATCAAAGTAATTGTAGAAATCAAATACTATATATTAATAGTGAAATACAATTAAGAAGAAGTATATTAATCGTGGGGACGCGGGCAGCGCTGTGGGTTAAACCCCAGAGCCTAGGGCTTGCCAATCAGAAGGTCGGTGGTTCAAATCCCCATGATGGGGTGAGCCACAACTGGACCTAATGGTCAGGGGCCCCTTTACCTTTATATTAATCGTGCAATGATTATTAAGCTCTAACTTAAAATGATTTTTTATTCATAGCGAACTTAACAATGCAAACGCATTGGCATTGGGCAATGACAAAAGTTCCTTTAGAAACACAGTTTGCAAAGACTCATAATCTAGTCCCCAGAAACTTGCTATAAAGTGAAGTAATAATAGCAAACCAGGGATATTTGAGGGAGCAGGCAGCGCCCATGGCTTACATCATAGGAGCCGACACAACACGAAACACTGTCTCTGTATGTAGGTTTTAGTTTATTAGCTTTCATATCTTATATTTTGGAAATATACTTCCAGGTTTTTTGCTTTAATTTCTTTTGAGGGGGCCCCCAAGAGAGTGGGGCCCTAAGCTAGAGCTTGTTTAGCTTATACCTAAATCCAGCACTGCATGGGGGGGGGCAGCAATAGGAGGCAGGATGGGGCTTACAGATTCTCTCCCCATCCAAAGTGTGGGTGCTGTTGCAGAAAGCACCTTATGCCCCCCCTCCCCGAGTTGGGGGGAGCCCTGTAGCAAAAGCCTCTGGTGTTCAGGTCAGACGCTGAGAGACCAGGCAAGTTGCACGTGTGCAGCCCATGAGGGTCCCCCCCAAAGGGAGGGGGGCTTTTCTCCTTTGAGTGCCCTGGTGGCACCGGAATGGCTTCCCAAACTGCCATTGTTTGGCTGGCGTTTGTGCTGCGTTTGGCGTCCTTGGAGACCCCATGAGGACCAGCAGCCCTTCCTTGCCTGCTCCTGCCCGGGAGCTGTTCCTCCAGAATGTGGCAGGGCACCTGCCTGGCACGCAGGAAGTCCCGCCTTCAGCCCTGGCAGAATATCCAGGAAAACCTGGGACAGAACCTGTCCTGAAATCCTGCAGAGACGCGACCATCCATCAGTGTGGGCAGTACAGTATTGAGGGACACGGGTGGCGCTGTGGTCTAAACCACAGAGCCTAGGACTTGCCGATCAGAAGGTCGGCAGTTCGAATCCCGGCGACGGGGTGAGCTCCCGTTGCTCGGTCCCTGCTCCAGCCAGCCTAGCAGTTCAAAAGCACGTCAAAGTGCAAGTAGATAAATAGGTACCGCTCCAGCGGGAAGGTAAACGGCGTTTCCGTGCGCTGCTCTGGTTCGCCAGAAGCGGCTTAGTCATGCTGGCCACATGACCCGGAAGCTGTACGCTGGTTCCCTCGGCCAGTAAAGCGAGATGAGTGCCGCAACCCCAGAGTCAGCCACGACTGGACCTAATGGTCAGGGGTCCCTTTACCTTTACCACTGTATTGAGCTAGATGGGCTACTTGTGTTTGTTTATTTTGCCAAAGTTATGCACCACTTGAGTGTAGGAAACACCCCCCACCCCAGGGTTTCACAGAAAAAGAAGACAGGAAAAATTGATAACCATATGTCTTGGATGCTTTAACTGAGATTCCTTCCAACTCAACAGCTCTCTGGTATAAAAAGTTAAAATACTGAAACAGATAAAAATTCACATCAACTTTCTAAGCACCTTTAGGCAGCCTTGTCTGCTTGACGTACTTGTACTGAAGGTCTGACTCGGCACAGGGAGGCTCTTTTGCTCTTGTTATGAACCCCGCCTGCTAGCCTCCCCTTGGGGCGTCTGGTGGGCCTCTGTGGGGACAGGATCCTGGATGAGGCGGGTGGTCAGCCTGACCCAGCTGCATGGCTCTTCTCACGCCCTGATGTTCCCTTGCAGCTCTCAGAGCCAGCCCAGCCCCCCGGCGCCATGGAGAAGTTTGGCATGAACTTTGGGGGCGGTCCCAGCAAGAAGGACCTGCAGGAGACCATCGAGGTGCAGAAGAAGCAGCTGTTGCAGTACCAGGGGCGCCTGAAGGACGTGGTGCGGGCCTACAAGAGTCTCCTCAAGGAGAAGGAGGCGCTGGAGGCCAGCTTGAAGGTCCTGTCGGTCTCCCACGAGGTGGACGCCGGGCTGGGCAGCGGGGTGGCCCAGCCCCCGGGGGTGGCTGGCTCCTCCAGCCCGGACCTGAGTGAGGACCAGAGCTCGGTCCACAGCGAGGACAGTCATGGGACAGCTGCCAGTCTGGCCAGCGTGAGGGGGGACCTGGTGGGCATGGAAGAAGGGACGGTGGCAGTGGCAACCGCAGCCTCTCCCTCGAAGCTGGAGGAGACCAGCAGCTCCGAAAGCAGCGGCGTGAGCTCTGGCAGCGGAGAGCTGATTGTGGGGGGCACCGGTGAGTCAGACAGGAGGGTCCTGCAGCTGAAGACTCAGCTGGCCACGCTGACCAGCGCCCTGGCCACCGTCACGCAGGAGAAGTCTCGGATGGAGGCCTCCTACCAGGCCGACAAGAAGAAGGCCAAGCAGGAAATGGAGAGCGCCAGCCGCAGAGCCGAGGAGGAGAGGAGCCGGCTGGAGGCCGAGGTCAAGGAGGCGCAGGAGCAGCTGGCCGAGGTCAAGGCCCGCCTCATCGCGCAGCAGCACGACCGGGCGCAGGAGCAGGGCGACCACGCCGTCATGCTGCGGGAGCTGCAGCGCCTGCTCCAGAGCGAGCGCGCCCTGCGCCAGGAGGCGGAGCTGGGCCTGGAGGAGGCCCGCGAGGCCCTGGCCGGGAAGGCGGGCGTGGCAGACCGGGCGGAGGGGGCCGAGCACCAGGCCCGGCAGCTGGGACGCGAGGTGGAGGAGCTGAGGCGGCAGCTGAGGGCCCTGCGGGAGGAGAGCGCCCGGCCGGACCCGCAGGTGCAGGAGCTGCAGGCCGAGGCGGCCAGCCTGAGGAGCCACTTCCAGGCGCAGCTGCTGCAGGAGATGCGGAAGGTGAGCACAGGGCAGGGAGTGGAAGGGGCCCTCTCTCCCAAGGGGGTGGGTTTGCCTTCCTTGGGGGGCCACTGTGATTCCTGCGCTGCAGGGGTTTGGACTACCGTATTTTTCGCTCCATAAGAAGCACCCGACCATAAGACGCACCTAGTTTTCAGAGGAGGAAAACAGGGAAAAAATATTCTGAATCAAATGTTGTACTAAACTAATAAACTACTGGTATATCAGAGTGAGACTGAGAGGGACAGGAGCTATATGTTTGTTTAGCATGCGTGCTCAAAGAGCCAGCTGAGATGCTGGGGGATTTGCGTAATTTTCCCCTCTCCCTCATCCCAGTGCTCTCCCATCCCCAGCAGCCTTCCTGTTTTACCTCCTGGTTTTCACTGCTCTTGTGGCTCAGAGCTCAAGGTTGGGTTTTTGTTTTGTTTTTGCTGCTAGTTGCTTAAATTTGATCCTTCCCGACCCAACCCCTCCTGTGCCCTGCCGTCCCTCTGCAGCCTCATTGCTCCATTTAGGGAGCGTGCGGACCTTTGCTAGCTGAGGCTGCTGCAGCTGTTGCTGGCTATGCACCACTTTCAAAAGCGCCTGCTGGCTTTGAATCGCCTGCCTCCTCCCGGCTCGCTGTAAAGCAAGCAAAGCGAGAGCCTCGTAGAGCATGTAAGCGGCTCTCACTTTGCTTACTTTTAGAGAGTGACAGACGGGAGCCACAGCTCCTCCTGGCTGTACAGCAAAGCAAAGCGATGGATCCAAACTACAAGAAAGAAGATTCCACCTAAACATTAGGAAGAACTTCCTGACAGTAAGAGCTGTTTGACAGTGGAATTTGCTGCCAAGTAGTGTGGTGGAGTCTCCTTCTTTGGAGGTCTTTAAGCAGAGGCTTGACAACCATATGTCAGGAGTGCTCTGATGGTGTTTCCTGCTTGGCAGGGGGTTGGACTCGATGGCCCTTGTGGTCTCTTCCAACTCTATGATTCTATGAAAGCTAGAGCCACGCAAAGCGGGACAGAAGCCCTGTAAGCGGCTCCCGCTTTGCTTGACTGACGGGAGCCATGGCTCCGGTCCAGTGCATTCGCTCCATAAGACGCACAGGCATTTTCCCTTTCTTTTTAGAAGGAAAAAAGTGTGTCTTATGGAGCGAAAAATACGGTAGATGACTCAGGGAGCCCCTTCCAGCTCTGCAAGTCTGTGATTCCCTCCTGAGCGGAGCCCCAAAGCAGGCACAGTCCTTTACCTACATGGTCCCTTGACTTCTCCTGCTCACCACAGGGTGGGGGTCACTCTTACTGGCCCCCTCCATGAGGCCTGTGGACGTCATGCCAGCCTGGAGCCTTTTGGGGGGAAGAGCAGCCTTCGCCAGCCTGGTGGCCTCCAGATATTTTGGGCAGCAGCTCCCGTCCTCTGTGGGGGCAGTAGGTTGGCTCAGGCTGGTGGCATGACTCCCTGGCAGAGCCAAGCGATGCTTCTTCCCCACCTCCTGGCCAGGCTGGAGATCCTCCCAGGCAGGTGGAGAAAGCCTTTGATAGTGTTTCTTGGTCATTTTCGATTAAGGTAATTGAGAAAATGGAAACAGGTAATTCTTTCCTGGCTGGAATTGAAGAGATCTATACTGATCAATCCACAGATATATTCTTTCGGACAAATGCCAAATAGAAAAAGAAATGAGACAAGCTTGTCCCGTATCTCTGTTGTTTATTATGGCATTAGAAATAGTGCTTCGGAATATAAGGAGAAATAGGGAACTTAAAGATACTGAGGTGGGACGTAGAGTCTATAAACTTAGGGTGTTTGCTGATGGTGTGGTGTTGACATTGGAGCAACCTTTGGAGAGTGTTCCAAAAGCGTGAGAAGAAATCAAAAGGTTTGGAGACGTGGCAGGTTTTAAAACAAAACCAGGCTGGGTGGGTTCCCGCTGGTCTCATCCAGCAGCCTCTTCTCATGTCCTTCTGTTTCTCCTCCCCCCGCAGACGGCTCAAGCGGAGGATCGGATCCAGCTGGAGGAGCAGCGGGTGGCCAGCTTGGAGGCCCAGATCTCGGAGGTCTCTGAACTCCTGGGCACCTACGAGAAAGCCAAGCAGAAGGACCAGCTGGCCATCCAGAAGCTGAAGGACCGCATCGCTCAGCTGGACCTGGAGAACAAGACCCTGGCCATGGCTGCCTCCGGCCGCTCCCCGCTGGACCTCGCGGCCTTCGAGGAGAGTAGCCTGGACGTCAACGTCCTGAAGGACCGCATGGAGAAGCTGAAGGAGTTGCTGCAGGAAGCCACCAAGCACAGCCCGGCGTCCGCCCAGGAGATCGAAGCCTTCTGCAGGCTGGAGCCCCCCAAGAGTGGCACGGAGACGGGGGACGGCGAGAAGGCCACCGCGGCCTACTACCAGCAGGAGCTGAAGCAGCTGAAGGAGGAGTTTGAGAGGTACAAGCAGAGGGCCCAGGTGGTCCTCAAGAACAAGTCGGCCAAGGACGGGAGCTTGGCCAAGGAGCTGGAGGCGGCGCAGGAGCAGCTGGCCGAACTGAAGGAGAAGCACGTCGCCCTGCGGCTCTCCTGCGAGGAGGGCGCCCGGCAGCGTCGCCAGGAGGCGGAGGCCTGGCGCCAGGAGGCGGCCCGCCTGCAGCAGCAGCACAGGCAGGAGCTGGAGAGGAGCCAGCTGGGCTTCCAGGAGAAGGTCCTGCGCCTGGAGGAGGAGGTGCACAAGCAGCGCGACCGGGCGCTGGCCGTCCTGGCCGAGAAGGACCAGGAGCTGGAGCAGCTGAGGGCCCTGGTGCTGCCGTACTACGGGCTGCAGGGGCCCAAGCAGGGCCCGGCCCAAGCGGGAGGGCTCCAGAGCGGGGACCCGAAGGGGGACGAGGGGGACGTCTCCCTGGAGACCCTGACGCAGGCCCTGCACCTGGCGGCGCCCAAGGAGCCGGCCTTCCTGCTGTACACGGAGCAGCTGGCCCGGAAGGAGGTGGAGGCCTCGGCCCTGAAGAAGCAGAAGCGCAGCCTGGAGGCGGCCGTGCGGCAGCTGCAGGAGAGGCTCCTGGAGGAGGCTGAGCGGCACCGGGAGGAGGTCTCAGGCCTGCAGGGCCGCCTGCAGAAGAGCGCCCGGGACCAGGGCCGGGAAGGCGCCAACCTGGAGTACCTCAAGAACATTTTCTACCGCTTTCTGACGCTGACGGACTTGCTGGGGCGGCAGCAGACGCTGACGGCCATCTTGACTATCTTGCATTTCAGCCCCGAGGAGAAGCAGGCCGTGCTCAGCCAGGCAGGGGGCGCAGGCAGCTGGTGGCCTTCAGGGAAGAGGTGAGCCCCCTGGGCTGCCGTGGGGCCGGCTGCTCTGCCCAGAGGGTGCCCAGGTGCCCAGGAGGAGGAGGTTGCGGGTCTGGCAGTTCCTCTACCCGCAGCTGTGGGCTCTGAGCGCCTTTCTGCTGCCAGGATCCGCCCAAGAGCCATTTCTTGAAAGGGACCATGATCTGGGAGATGGGGGGATTTTGAATCAAGTGGGTTTTTTTGGGGGGGGGTGTCTTCTTTTGCCAACTGGGGGAATTCTTGCAGGCTGCGTTTGGGGTTTTCTTCTTCCTGCCTCTCAAGCTTCAACTTGGTTTGTGATCTGTAAATAAAAAGGACCAGCAACCAGAGACTGTGCTGTGGGCAAATGCCTCTTGGTCTTTGGGAGCAGGATGCGGCACGTGGGGCACCCAGGGGTGGAGCTGGGGCGGGGGGGCAGAGGAAGAGGGCCCCTCTCCAGGGTCAAAGGGCTTCTTTGACTTGGGAGGTGGCTCCTTGGGAGCTGGGTGAACTCAGGGAGAGGAGGCCAGCCACATCATGGGGGGGGGGGGCATGTGGCTCTGCTGACCAGGCTGGCCCCCATCGCAGGAGGGTGGGGGGCAGAGCACCCTGCGGATTTGCCTGGCGAGGGCTCAGCGCTCGGCATCCCCACCTGGAGAGGGCCGGGGTGCGTGTGTCGGGCTGGGAAGAGCTCCCTGCCTGAGGTCCTGGGCCAGAGGGGTGGAGAGTTGGGCAATGTCCCGGGATCTGAATCTCACACAGAACCCTCCAGGGTTTAGGCAGTGGAAGCTGCCATTCCTGCATTGCAGGGGGTTGGGCTGGATGACCGCACGGGTCCCTTTCTAAAGTTCTATGAATCTGTGAGCATCTTGCGGGGGACAAGCTCCAGTGGCCGTACTCTGGCTGAACGCCCAGCCCTGGGATTGGGAAGGCCCCATTGCGGGTGCCACCCCATAGCCAGGCCTGCTGCTCTGTGGGTCCAGGGTGGGGGGGCTGCGCTCTGCCGCTTGACGCTGGTGGCCTGGCTTTGTCAAGCAGGGCAGAAGCGGAAAGGAAACATTTGCCAGCTCTTGGATTCGCAATGAAGGTGAAGGAAAACACACGTCAGCCACTTGAGGACGGTTTGGAAATGCGCTTGGTCCCTGTGGCACTTTTTATTTTGCAAAACAGCTGTGATTCCTGCACTTCAGGGGCTGGGCTACATGAGCCCTGGGGTCCTTTCCGACTCTTGTGATTCTGCAGTCCCCTGTACCCTCCCAGCTGCTGCGAGGGGCAAAGTGCCTTCATGGGCCTCTGCTCATCCTGCACAATGCCTCTCCCTGACGGCAGGCCCAGCTTTTTCTGCAGCGCTCAGGGCACCTGTGGAACTCCCTGCTGCCAGGTGCCCAGAAGCTCAGCAGCGTTATCTGGCTTCCAGAAAGGCAAGGCCTCCCTCCTGCCCCCCGAGTAGCAGCTGCCTCAGAGGCTCCTCATCCCTGCAGCAAGAGCTGCCCCCATACACACATTCGCATAGCTAAAAGGGCCTCTTTCTATGGGGCCACGTGGGAACTGTGTGGTTGGGCTGGAGCCCAGGAGACCCTCGTCCCTCACCCCTCTGCAGGCCCCTGGCTGATGTCCTGCATTCCTTTGGTTTTCTTTGCCTCCTCCGGGGAAACTGAGGACCACCCTGCCCATTGGCTGGCCTCCTGTGATGTCACGAGGTGTTCCCCTGCGCAGGGACCTGGGAAGGTTGCAGCGGGGTGGGGACAGCGAGCAGCCGTGTCTGGGTGGGGGGCTAAGCAGGACCCCTCTTCCTTGGCAGACTGGCGAGCCAGCTACTGGCACGCGAAAAAGTCTTCATTCTGTGGGTGGGCGGGCAATTTGCTGCACAGGGCCTCCTCCCCGGAAGACATGAAGGGGTAGCAGTCCAGCAGGGCAGGGAGGCGGTTGGGGGCTTAGCAAGACGTGCCAAGCAAGGCTTTCAATCTCTGGGTGACCTTTGCCCTTCCTGAAACCCTCCCCTGCTTCAGGTTTGATCTGAAGCATTCTGTGCCTGATTGCTCTCAAGGGGAAACCGAGGCAGGGCTGCTGCTAGCCGGGGGAGAGCTGCCTGCTGCTCTTTCTCCCCACAGGAAATTGCCGGCCTCCTCCGACTCCTCCCTCTCCTCTGCTTGGGCATGAAGTGGCGCAGCTCTTACCTGGCGGCTGCTGCTTCCTGCTCCTGAGCCCAAGGAAAACACCTTGTGCAAACAAAGTCAGCTGAGCGGCTGGTGGGGAATTTCCCTGGGCAGCGGAGCCCGCAGGGAGGGCAGGTGGTGCTCTGTGGCCCCTCCAGCCGTAGCCCCACCATGGCCGAGCGAGGCAGGAGTGGAGCTGCCCTTCCGGACGAAGAGGTACCCCCCCATTCACCCCCCCACCTCACCCCGGGCAACTTTCCTGCTCCTCCGCCCACCCTTGGCTTGGGAGGAATCTGCCTGGCGTGCCTTAGCCTGCCTGGCTCCGGCTGGGAAAGGCAGCCCCATAGCCTGGGGGCAAGGTGGGTCCTCTAGCAGGTGGGCCCAGAGGTGTCCAGTGGGGATGGGGGGGCATACCTGGTTTAGCCACTCTGGTGTCTCTCTGCTGGGAAAAATGAAATCTGCTAGCCTCAGGGACTTCCTGAATTTCTGTTCTTCGCCTGACCTAAGCAGTTTCCCAGGGCAAGAGGGGGCAGGAGCTGCGGGGCGGAGGGACGACCACCACGTCCCCATTTGTGTCTTCCTCTGGCTTGGCATCTCTTGGTTTGTGGAAACATGCAGAGGAAGAGACCGGCTGCTGTGGGGCTGAGGTGGCCTCAGCTGCTTCTCTGCAGGGACCTCCTTGGCCCCCATCCTGGTGGGACCCCCACCCCACCTTGGGGTCCTCATCATGGACATCTGGTGAATTACGGGGAACAGCAAACTGGAAAGGTGGGGGGGGGACTCTCAGCAGTCTAGTCACACCTTGACTGGAGTGCTTGTGTGGGGCACCTCCTAACCTAGACCTCTTGCCTGCAACCTCTAGGTCTTGGCCTTGGCGTGGGTCTGCCTGGTTGCCCTGGCTCTCAGGTGAGTGGCCAAAGACCACCTTTCCCTCCCTCCTTCCCTCCAGCCGGTCCTCTCCTCTGCCCTCCAAGCACAAGGGGAGCAGCCTGACCCCCTGTTGCCCTCCTCCTGGTGGGATCTCCAGCCCCATACTCTGTGGGTCGCAGGGAATCCAGGTAGCTTTCAGGGGGCCTTTGATGGTAGGGGGTGAGCAAGGGCACCCACAGGCTGTGCCCTTTGCCTGGGTGGGTCCTGGCTACTCGTCTGCCCGCCATGGGGGGAGGGGGCGCCTGCAGAGTCCGCTTGCCTTGGCACCCCCCTCACCCGCCTTCTCTGGAGGCACCCGAGGGTGTCAGGCACATCTGAGTCCATAGCTGTCAACGTTTTCCTTTTTTTAAGGGAAATTCCCTTATTCCGAATAGGATTCCTTGCAAGAAAAGGGAAAAGTTGACAGCTATGCATCTGACACCAGCAGTTGAGGGCAGAGCATAGGAGTCCAAGCTGCTCCTCTCCAAATCCAAATTTGGAGGAAAGAGGGAGCAGCCGGCCTCCCTCCCCAGGACGTGACAGGCCACACAAAAGACTTGCCCGGTTCTTGGGGGCTGCCTCCTCTGCTCATGGGTAGGCGATGGAGGGGGAGCTGGGTGGGGTGGGGGTTCCCCTGTCCCAAGCGAGAGCCCAGCTGACTCCTGGCCGTCTTTGTCTTGCAGCCTGCTGGGCAGCGGTTCCATTGTGGCTGCCTCCCTCCTCCGAAGGCGATGCTGCCAGGATCAGGTCTGCCAGGGTGGGGTTTCCGACGCAGCCCCCCCCATGCTTCGCCACCCGGGGCATTGTTCTGCAGGAGCCCCCTGGGCGCACGGGAGAGTCGCTTGCATTTGACAAGGGCTCTTCAAAATCCTCACCTGAGTGCTGCCACCAAAGAGAGCAGCCTGCAAGAGGATGGGCTGGATGGGCTCAGAGCAATCTGGGAGCCCCTCCCCCCAAGCTCCCCATCCAGCCCAACTTAAAGTGGGGGGAGAGGGAGACTTTGAAGGGTTAGGGTTGCTGTATTTCAAAACGTGATAATCCAGACAGAAAAGTTGTCAAGCTTTTCCCCAGATGTCTAGATTGTGCAGCAGGCTGAGCTCTGGGAAGGGGACAAGAGAAGCCGGGAGGGGGGCACTTCCCAGCCTGCCTGACCTTTGAGTCCCCTTCAATCTGCATGGGTAGGCAAATTAAGGCCCAGGGGCTGGATCCGGCCCAATCGCCTTCTAAATCTGGCCCATGGACGGTCAGAGAATCAGCGTGTTTTTACATGAATGTGTCCTTTTATTTTAAATGCATCTTTGGGTTATTTGTGGGGCACAGGAATTTGTTCATTTCCCCCCCCCCAATATAGTCCGGCCCCCCACAAGGTCTAAGGGACAGTGGACCGGCCCCCTGGTGAAAAAGTTTGCTGACCCCTGGTCCAGAGGGTGGTCTCTGGGTGCAGGGGGGCAGAGGGGTCCTGCCGGTTGCTGGTCTGGAGCTGGCCCTGACCCCTTGCTCTCCCCCCAGCTCTGCCCGCTCTTCCTCCTCTCCCTGGCGGATCTCCTGGGTGCCTCGGCCCTCCTCTCCGCAGCTGCCATCCAGCTCCTTCCACCGCGGCTCTTCGTCTCGGCCTACCAAGCCTGTCCCTACCTGCTGATGCTGGGCCTGGTAAGGCAGCCGTCGATCTGCCCGGCAGGGGCGTGTGGCAGCCGCCTGTCGCACCAGTGGGTGGCATGGAATGCAGTCAGCTGCCTTGCTCTGAGCCAGCTCAGAATTACCTGCCCTGACTGGCAGCCACGGCTCTCCAGGTTTTCAGGCGGAGGAGTCTCTCCAAGCCCCACCTGGAGATGCTAAGGGGGATTTGAACCCAGGACCTTCGGCTTGCAAGGTGGCTCTGCCACCCCTTCCTGGGGTCTCATGGCTGCCCCCCTTGCTGAGAGCTTGACCCAAGTGAGTCCTGCCAGTTCCTGCAGACAGACGGATGGGCAGCCTCCTGGCTCTGGAACCAGCCCACCAGCTCTGCCCAGGTCAGGGCGCCCCCTGCCTTGTTCCAGAGCCAGGTTCGCCCCCTCTGTCCCCTGCCAGGCCCCTCTTGGCGCTCACCTGCCCTTGCCCTGCCTTCCTCTTCCCCAGATGTTCTACGCCATTTCTCTGCTGATGGTCGTCGTCTATGCCTACGAAGTGAAGCGAGCTCTGGGGGGCTGGAGGGAGGCCCCTTCCTCTGCCCTGCTGCAGGTAGGAAGGGCGCAGGGCCCCTGCCTGGCCTCTGAGAGCTTAGGAGGGACCCCAAGAGTCATCTAGTCCAGCCCCTCGCAATGCCTCAATCAAAGCCAAGATGGCGGAGGGTCTCCTCACCAAACGTGAGGCTTCTTCTACCCATTGGCAATGGGAGTTCCTGCATTTCCGCTGGGGTCCTCCAGGTTTTTTGAGCCCCAGGCACCCTGCTGGCCGGCACTGATGGGAGTTGTAGTCCAACATGCCTGGAGGGGGGGCACCAGCCTGAGCAAGGCTGCGCCAGGGGGGTGCTGGCCAGCCTTGGAGAGGGGGCGTCTGCAAGGACTTGGGCTGCTCCTTCTAGGGCAGGGGTCCCCAAACTAAGGCCCGTGGGCCTGATAAGGCCCGAGGGACTCGTTTATCCGGTCCACGGTGACCCCCGCTGCCGTTGCCCGCTCTTACTGGCACTGCACTGTGCGGCTGCCCACTTGCGGGTCGGAGGAGCACCGGAAATAGCTTGTGCGCATGCGCAAGCGTTATTTCTGGTGCACATCCGGGTCGGAGGAGGTCCATGCACATGCGCACAAGCTATTTCTGGTGCTCCTCCAACCCGGAAGTAGCATGTGGGCACGCGTATGGGCACAGGCTCCCCTGCCCTCCGGCCCACTGCCCGATCGGCGCTGGAGACACCGGCCCAAGGCACAGTAAGTTTGCTGACCCCTGTTCTGGGGCCTGGCTCCATAGAGGGGGCCTCCGCCCATGGGTGCCCAAGATGCTCTGGCTGGGCAAGGCTCTGGCAGAGGCCCCTGCCCAGTTGGGGGAGGCTCAAGAGGCTGGGGGGCACCTGGGGGAGACACAAGCAGGAGAAAGGGGGACTTGGGTGATTCCCGGCGGGTGTTTGCCTTTGCTAAGGAGGCTGCCTTCCTCTCAGCTGCCGTCTCTGTTTCCCTCCAAGGAGGAGAGCGGCAGGTTCAACGAGAGACTCCGAATAAATCTGCCCCGTCTCTTGGCCTGGTAGGTGCAACTGACTGGCGGGGACTGTCCTGCCACCCTTTCCCTTTGGGAGGGGGCCCTCTTGGCCCCTGGAGGCCACACGAGGCGAAGCCACCTCTCAGCCCCACTGCCTCTGAGCCATCTCCTTCCACAACACCCCACCCTGTGTCTTCTCGCAATAAAGGCTGCTCCCGTTCCTGGTCTTCGTGGTCCTGCTGGTGATTCGAGGCTCATCCCTGAGAGATGTGGCACCCTGGGCCTTCCCCCCATTGGCGTTACAGGCTGGCAACGGCTCGCGAGGGTCCCACGGCCTCTACTGCTCCAGGTAGAACCTGCCCCCCTTCCTCTCCCTTGGGATGGGGTGGGATTTTGCAGAGGAGGGTGGTCTCTTGCGTCCAGCTAGCCAAACCCTCCCACTTTCCTTCCAGCTGCCTGATCCTCATCCGCCACTCGCATGACACCTGCTACAAGGTACTGCCCCCCCCCAGTGCTTCCTCCATCAGCTGCTTCCTCTCCCTGTTGGTCTGGGATGCCCTTTCTTGGACCCCACCCCCATCCTTTAGGGGCACAAGGTCCCTTAGTTCTGGGTGAAGGGGCCCCCAGCAACAGCAGGGTTGTGGTGCTGTGAAACCAGCTGCCCCCCCCAGCTCCCCTGGAGGACCAGACGGCCGTCCCAAAGGCTGCCTCCTTCACCTCCTTCTCAGGTGGTGATAGTGCCCAGATATTGGCATGGGGCTAGTCTCATGGGGTCCCAAGGATCATCCAAACTAACCCCAAGCCCCCTGAATCTCTGGTTGAACTTGGGGAGGTTTGTTCCCCTTCCATTTCCAGTATTCCTCCTGGCAGCATCTCTCCTGTCACAGGAGAGCAGGAACTCGCTGCCCCCCAAAACAGAGGGTGATGGGATTCTCAGGAGACCCTCCTGTCCGCCTGGGCAGCTGAGCCCCAATAGGGGTGGGCAAAGTGCCCCCATGGGCTTCAGAGGCTCTTTCCAGAACACTTGCAGAAGGGCCACGGGGCCTGTTTCCATGGGGGGGGTTACCCTTGGACCCCACCCGCCAGTGTTGGCCCCCTTACTGAGGAGCTTCCCCCCTCCCCTCCCAGTACACAGGCAGGAACGACTCTGGCAAAGAAGTCAAGATCTTCTTTCTCGTCTTCGTCTCTCTGGTTGTCGCCTGCTGCACAGTAAGTGTGCCCGTCCGTCCGTCTGCCCGTGTAAGTGTGGGCATCCACCAGGGCCTGTTTATTTATTTTTGAAATATGCTGAGAGTGGATTTCATGCTCTTTATTCATCTCATAGTAGTGAGGAATGGAAGTTCCCCTGAGATGTCTGCTTTATATACATTATTTACGCAATGGGCCGCACGTGATTGGCTAATTCCGGGATTCACCTGTAGACCAATCAGGTTGTGGATTCACTTCCACCTGGAGCTGGATTGGGTGACTCCTGCGGACCAATCAGACTGCTGCATTCTGGATCCTATTGTTCTAGGACCAATCAGACTGCTGCATTCTGGATCCTATTGTTCTAGGACCAATCAACCCCCCCCCACTCCCGCAATACACAAATCCACCCTCATTAAACGTGAACATAACATACAATAAGGAAACAACCAAATAAGAGACTTCCTTTATCCTGTATCTGGCCTCCTTATTTACTTCTTATAAACTGTTTCCTTTATGAATAATTATTTAGATTTTTCTAATTATAACTTAAATATCCACAAAGTCTCCTGCAGACATTAATCAAAACAAGTCCAGGTATTTTAGGGCACTGTTTTGTGAAGTATTCTCTGCATTTTCCCCATGCTTTTTGAAACTCTCGTCTAGTGTGATCTCTACTAATTGCCTCTGTTAATCTAGCCAGTTCAATATACTCTTAACAGTTTATCTTGCCATTCCATTTTTGTTGGCACAGTTTCTTTTTCCCAGTTTTTAGCAGTTAGGATCCTTGCCGCTCCTGTGGCATAGAGAAATATTTTCTGATCTTCTCTTGTTATACCTGTGTCCGTTATCCCTAGTAGAAAATCTTCTATATTTTTCATAAAATTATACTTAAACATTTTCTTAAGCTCGTCATACACTGTGTTCCAGAAGCTTTTGATTTTTCCACAGGTCCACCAAACATGTATAAGTCTCCCCTCTGTTTTACCACACCTCCAGCACAGATTTGTTTTTGTCTTATACATTTTAGCTATTTTGGTAGGTGTTAAGTACCATCTGTTAAACATCTTGATTAGGTTTCCTCTCAATACTTCACAGGCTGTAAATTTCCAGTTCTTTCTCCATAGTTCTTCCCATGCTGTTAATGGTTTTCCCAATATCTAAAACCCACTTGATCATTACCTCCTTGGCCTGTTCATCTTTGACCTCCCACTCCAATAATGTATCATACATTTTTTATATTACCTTGGTTTTGTTTTTCTAATAATGAAGGTTCGTTTTAGAAACCTTTTTTTCTTATCTGTCCTGAACACTTCGTGCAATTGATGGTATTGGATCCAACCTGTAAGGTGTTGTTTAATTTCCTCATCTTCCTAATCTTTAATTACCAATTTAATGTATTTTTCCTTAATCAGATCTTTATATGTGGCCCATTCTAACTCCATATTTTTCTTTTTTATTGTAATTGCTTCTAGAGGTGATGCCCACCGTGGTGTTTTCGGTTCTAGGAGATTTTTATATTTTGTCCATGTTTTATATAATGATTTCCTTAGGACATGATTCATAAATCCCCTGTGTACTTTCCCTTTTTCATAAGCTAAATACGCATGCCAACCATAATGATTATTAAACCCTTCTAGATCTAACAAATCACCGCCTTTTAACTTTACTTACATTTCAATGCAGGCAGCAAATACGTCAAAAGTATTTTACTCGGGTAAAAATGGAGCCTGGTCTGAGGCCCATTCACTGGCTGACCAAATGACCCGCTCTTCTTGGCCAGGTGAATGGGCATGCCAATGGGGAAAGAGCCCAGAGAAGGGTGGAGGGTCTGAGTTCTGCCCCTTTCCTTGCCCCTAATGGCTGCCTCCCGCTGCCCCTGGCCAGGTCCTCTACTGCAGGGTGAAGTGCTGGTGTCGCCGCAGGCAGAGAGGTGGCCGCACCCTGACCCTGCCATCTCCGGAGAGTGACGGCTGTGCCATCAGAACCCGCATCGCCTGCTTCTTCCAGCTGGTCTTCCTGGTCTGCTGGATGCCAGGTGAGTGACCTAGGAGCCTTGTCTCCGTAGCACCGCTGAGAGACTGCTTTGGGGCCACTTGCCTTCCACGTTGCAATACTTGGGTCTGAAGACATGGAAATCCAGCCTCAAGTCATCTTCGAGGGGACAGAGGCAGACTCTCTTCTTGTTTGGCAAGCGTGGAGACCTCCAAGTTAAGCCTCATCACTTACCTCCAGGTTTCTGATGTTTATTGAATGAGTCGAGAACTCTCAAGACACATTGTCTAACAACTACTCCCCACCCTTGGGGTGGATCCCCACATCAGATACAGACCCTGAGAGCTTTCTTTGGGCTGCTGGGGGCGGGGAGAGTCTCTGGAAGCCAGCGTGGTATTGTGGTTAAGAGCGGTGGACTCGTAATCTGGTGAACCAGGTTCGCTTCCCCACTCCTCCACCTGCAGCTGCTGGGTGACCTTGGGCCAGTCACACTTCTTTGAAGTCTCTCAGCCCCACTCACCTCACAGAGTGTTTGTTGTGGGGGAGGAAGGGAAAGGAGAATGTTAGCTGCTTTGAGGCTCCTTTGTTGTTGTTGTTGTTTAGTCGTTTAGTCGTGTCCGCCTCTTTGTGACCCCCTGGACCAGAGCACGCCAGGCCCTCCTGTCTTCCACTGCCTCCTGCAGTTTGATCAAACTCATGGTGGTCTCTTCAAGAACACTGTCCAACCATTGAGGCTCCTTAGGGTAGTGATAAAGCGGGATATCAAATCCAAACCCTTCTTCTTCTTCTGATCCATCAGGTGGCAGGCGGTTTCCCCCCAGCGCAGAGACAAAGACCGCCCAGTTCAATTTTAAATCAGGGCTATTATGGGGTGTGTCTGCCAAGATGGGCAGAGGGATCAGCACCCAGGCAGAGGGGATCCTGGAGGTTTGCTAAGTTGCCGCATGTTGGCTGAACCCAACATTTCGAACTGCGGAAATACCTGGAAAAGGTGTAAATGGAAGGAGCTCCCTCCCCCCTCCTCCCCAGATGCCCCGTGTTTGTGCATTTATAGAATTGCAGGCTTGTAGGGACCCCAAAGGGTCATCTAGCCCAACCGCCCGCCCTGCAGGAATCACAGCTGGAGAGTCCCAGATGGGTGAGCCACCAAGGCAGGAGGGTCTGGCACCTTCCCAGAGAGTCTGTTCCACTGGCAAAGAGTAGTTCTGGGTTCCTTGGTGAGGGAGGGGTCATGGGCGACAGGAGCCACCCTAAGCGGATGGAAGAAAGAACTTGTTCCCTGGTGGCAGACAAAGGCCTTTTCAGGGTGGAGGGAGAGAGGGAAGGCTTATAGGAACTCTGCTCTGCCAGAGGCCAGCTCCATCTTTCGCCCAGCTGAGCACCCGCTTGGTCACCGAGGGAGAAAAGGTGGCCGTGATCCCAAACCGTGAGCTACATTCTCAGGGGATGGTGACTCAGCAGGTGTAGGGATAATCGCTGGGTCCGGAGGGAGGACACTCCCCACCTGCAGGCAGCCTCAGTCTGCCTGCACGTGTGACCTTGGGGTGCAGGGCACACTCCGCCACAGACAAGCCACCGCTGTCTGAACACCGTTCCCTCTGTCTAACCTTTTGCCGTCTCAGCAGTCTGCGGTGCCCTGTCTGTAAGCTTTGTCTCGGAGACCTTTTGTCTCCTTTGTCATACACTGTGCAAGGGGAAAATGACGCGGTGGAAACAGGTTCCAAAATAACTTTGTACCACCCCACGATCTCAGGACTGGAAGATGTGTAAAGGTCACAGCCCCAAATGTATCTGCCTGGGTTTGCATATTTGTGTCAATAAAAGGAGCCTCCACAGAGCTGGCCGGCAGCTTGCTTGCAGCTCACCTGTGCGCAGCTCACCTGCATTATCAACTCCTGCCTCATGTCCATCACTTCAACCTGGGGCCAGGGTGCCCCCTGCCAGCCTGGTGACCTTGGCCAGGAAAAGTGACGTGGCCCCTTCTTCTCTCCTTCCCCCTCAGCTTTCTTCCTGTGCCTGCTCTCCTTCTCCAGTCTCCAGCCGGCCATCCTCTTCCCTCTCTACTTGGCTGTGGTGAGTGACGGGGGGGGGTCCTTGGAGGGGCTGAAGCAAATGCACTGGTCTTGCCTCGGCTCCTGGACTTCAGTGCTGGCGAAGGGAGGGGCTCCCACTTATGTCACCCCTTTCCTGCAGAGCTGGCTCCTTTTCCAAACGCCCTCCCTTGTGGCGTGTTCCCTCAGCCTCCTCTCCTCTCCCCTCTCCTTGGGAGTCCCCTGGGCAGCCGCAGCTGCCGCCCCTGGTCTCTGAGCTGTCCCCTCCTGCCCCAGAGAGAGGTGCCTCCTCACACTGCCCCACAGGGGCTTGGGATGCAACCCCTGGCCAGCCCTAGAGGTGCCATTTGCCTGCGGAGCTTATAGTCAGTGTTGTAAACAAAATCTGCCCTTTTTCCCTTATGGGGTATCCAAGAGTCCTTAAGTGGGTTCTCCATCGGTAGGAGAAAATAACTGAGGCCAACCAGAGAATATTGAGAAGCAAAGCAGCTAGTAAGCCTGATCTTTATTGATCTGCTGCAACAGGGTGCTCCCCTGAGGAGGACCCCCAACCAAGGCGTGCCAGCCCATATATAGACATTTTAAATTCCCCGCCCTGGAGCTCAAGACCCCTCCATACATCACAGAAGGGGTGTAACCCCAGACCACCCCCCACAAACATCATACCTACATCACAGAAAAGACGGTCTACAACAGAAATGTGAATGTTGTTGTTTTTCCTGCCTGCCAGGTTTTCTGATAATGCCTTATCTGATTGCCTTTCCTGGTAGTCTGGCCATTCCTTTGAAATGGTGATTACTAAATTCCTGTAATAAGGAAGGTTTTTTCACCTCCTCCCTCCTTGCAGAGAAACATTTGGCCAGCTGGGGGGTCAAAATGGTTTCAGGACTGTCTTCCTGTGCTGCTTCAGACATGTGGTTTATATATTTATGCATGTGTTTGCTTGGTACATTTATGAACATTTAATATATATCTAAGACCTTAAAATTCTTATTACACCAGGGCTGCTGCAACAAAGAGCTGTGCAAGAGATGTGAGAGGGCATCTGAGGAGGGAGGGAAGGACAGAAGGACAGAGGCCAGGTTGCCTGAGGCACCCCTGCCCATCATTCAAGGCACCCCCGGGTGCCACAGCACACTGGTTGAAAACCACTGATCTAACCAAACAAAGCCATGCGGTGGTCAGCCACAGAAATGCCAGCAGAGCAATCCACCAGAGGCGGCCTTGGATACTTTAAGTGATTGCAGGATTGCAAGTGGGGTCTCAACTCCCTGGATCTCTGGGCCCCCGTGAAGTTTTCCCCCTCCCCAGCCTCCCCTTGCTCTGCCAGAGCACACCCGTCTCCCCCCGAGATGCTGAAGCTGCTGGATTTTGCGCCCCCCCGTAAGCGTAACGCCTCCTCTTTTCCCTTTCTGCAGGCCCTGACCGTCTCCCTGCAAGGCTTCTTGCACAGCCTGGTCTACGGGTGGCTGCGGCAGAACTTCCGCCGGGAGGTGACCGGGGAGCAGATGCCCCTCCTGGGCCACCAGGGCCAGAAAGCCTTTTTCGAGGACTCCCTGGCCATATGCAGGGAGGGCTGAAGAGAGAGGGGCAGGCGGGGTCTCCCCAGAACAGAGCGCTGCAAAACTCAGGCAGGGAGCAGCTCAGCTCTGCTTCCCTCCCCCCCCCAGCCAGGGGTGGGGGTGCATTACAAGCCCCTCCACTCTGGGTTTTTTTGTAAGGGTATTTTGCTCAGGACTTGATTAGCCCAGCAGCCAGCAGGATCACACCAGAGACGCGTAGGAGCCGTGCGCTCTGCTTGCTACAGGGGCTTCATGTGTTGTGGGGAAATCAGGAGATTGTTGTCGCCCCCCCCCTTTGCTCTGGGGTCTCACGATCCCCTGGGGTCCACTTGGCGGTCAGAGCAAAGCAAGAAAAGGCAACCAGGTATATGAAAAGCAAGGTGACTAGGAGGCCCAATCTTTATTGTTGTCACAGTGAGGTTCCTACTTCTGAAAGGCAAAAGAAGCAGCCCCAGCAAAGGGTGCGACTCCTTTGAAAAGTTTGCCTTTTGCCCAGAGATCCACTCCCAAAAAGCACCGTCCAAATGTTGCAAGGCATCACAGGAAGAGGTGACCTTTTACAGAAACTTGAGTCCTTGCCTTGTCTCCAAGATATCTGAGCATGGCAAGTCTCCTCTCCTCTGCTCATCTTTGGACAAACATGAGCACACCCCTTTGGCGTCACAAATAACCTTCGCCCCAATCCATTCACCTAGTCTCTTGCTCAGCGATTTCTTCCTGGGCAGATAAGGATCCTTCCTTCCGTTGTCAGCCCATTGTATTGCCCATGGTCAGGACTCGGGGATTGCGGCTGCAGCCACGACGTGCTCAGACTCTGTTGCTCAGAACCACTTTGGTTCACTCTGTGTATGATTCTGTGACCTTTGGCTTGAGTTCTATTCATGAATAAACTATTTTATTTTAATATCTACGGTTTTCCCATTCATAAAACAGGATTTATGAGTGCTAGTTGGGGGTTGGGGGGCAGTACCTCTGGTGGGGGACACACCGTGCTCCTTCTGGGGCAGTCTGGTCCCCAGTCTGCCCTCAGCTTTCATCTGGGGCTCCTAGTAGCTGCCAGCATGGTGCAACAGGGGCCACACTCTGGAAAATGGATTTGACTCACCCCAGGGCATATTTTACTGCCCCCGTCCACCCCTCTATAATTTTCCATTTTTACAATTATTTTAACAACAACAAATAAATTCATCCCAAATCAATCTGCATTTTCTTTTACTTCTCTGTGGTTACTTATTTTGTATCTTATTCTTGCTGCATATCCAGTTCAGACCTATTTACAAATTTTCCCTTTATAATTCTTTTTAATTATTACTGCTCATGTTTATTACATCATTTCTGCTAATGTTTTTAATTGTTTACAGTGCATCTTCATGTAGTCAACACATTTCCCCCATTCTGTTCTAAGAAAACTCTCATCTTTAGCACTTATTCTTCCGGTAAGTTTTGCCATTTCTGCTACTCCATCCATTTTAGCTGCCAGTTATCCTTCATTGGAACTCTTTCTTCTTGCCATTTCTGGGTGTACACCATTCGGGCAGCCGTAGTAGCATAGCTAAAGAGGTTTTTTCTGTTCTTTAAAATCACCTCCCAGAAGACTTTTACTATCTTACATGGCCACCTAATAATAATAATAATAATAATAATAATAATAATATATTTATATCCCGCCCTCCCCAGCCAAAGCCAGGCTCACAGCGGCTAACAACAGTAAAAATAACACAGTTTACATAAAATCACAATCAATTAATTGAAATACATTCGAAAATCAATTCATTCCAAAATCAATTCAAAATCAAATTAATGGCAACCATTGGGCTAGAGTTCTGTGAGGATTACAGAAGGAGAGAGGGGGTCAGACTGTGCCTTGGCCAAAGGCCAGGCAGAACAGCTCCGTCTTGCAGGCCCTGCGGAAAGATGTCAAGTCCCACAGGGCCCTAGTCTCGTGTCAGAGCTTTCCACCAGATCAGGGCCATGCCCAAAAAAGCCCTGGCTCTGGTTGAGGCCAGCCTAACCTCCCTGTGGCCAGGGACCTCCAAGATGTTTTTATTTGAAGACCGTAAGGTCCTCCGTGGGACATACCAGGAGAAGCGGTCCTGTAGGTATGATATGAAAAAGGTTCCTTCCTTCTCTTTACATTCCAGCATGTATTTGATTCAGTCTTGTACATTTTAGCTAACCTACTAGGCATCAAATACCATCTACACATCATTTTCATATAGTTTTCTTTTAAGTCATAGCATGCTGTAAAACTGCTCATCCCTTCTCAATGGGTTCAGTTTGTACATTTCTGAATGCTTTTTAGATAAGATGCAGGGAAAAGGACAGATGCCCCATTGGCAGAGTGCCAGCCTGATGCTGCCCTCACCCCTCCTACTATCTCTGGGTGGGCCCCACGGAGAAAGCCTGACTTCAGGCAGCAAGGGGCAAGTTGAGGGAGGATAAGTCCGGCTAGCAGCCCTTGTCTGCGGGGGGCAGAGAGAGACGGCAAGTGGGGCAGACAACGCTGCCTTTCTCCTTCAAAGGCCTCCTTCCTTCTCAAGCAGAACAAGGCTCTGCTCAGCCCCCCCCCCAGTAGAGGCTGCACCCCTTTTGGTTCTCAAGGGTGAGATCCTAGCAGGGCACAGACCTGCGGCTGATTGCCTTTTGAGAAGAGAGTCCCGATCCGAGCACCTTCCACCTATCAGGCACAACTCACTTGGGAGCACCTTGCTTACCAGCTGCTCCTGGAGCTTCAGGATGCTGGCCAAGATGGGCCCCTGTGGCCTGATCCAGTCTCTGGCTCCCAGTCCACTGGGCGAGGCAGAATCAGGTCATTAAAGTGACTGACTGGTTGAAGCCGTCCCGTGAACTGGGCAGCACATCCTTTCAAACATCTGTATCGCCATTTCTTTCTGACGTACCAAGTGCCCACCTTGAGAGAAGCTGCTTCTCTCTCCCTTTGGCAACAGGGATGCTCACCTGCCTGCCTGTCCCCACAGATGGGGACCAACACATCGCCCAACGACCCAAGAGAGTCTCCTCCTCCTTCAGGATTCCAGTTATTGCCCACATGCAAAAGTTCAGCGGAGGGATCTGTAGGAGTTTAGACCTGAGACTCGTCTGCTGAGATTTCCTTAGGGGATTCCCAAGGCTGAAACAGGCCTGGCCAGAGTCTGGAGGGGCCAGCCAGCCAGCCAGCCAGGCTCCGCTCTGCTCCCTCGAGGAGAGAGCCCCGATCCGAGCACCTTGCACCCATCGGGCGCAACTCACTTGGGAGCATCCTGCTTACCAGCTTCTCCTGGAGCTTCAGGACCAGGTCGACCACCTCAACCTCAGACTTGTCCTTCACCCAGGCCCGGATGTTCTGTGGGAAAAGAAGCCGACTCAGCTGGGAAGACGCTTCCTTGCTTCCTCCTCCTCCTCCCCAGAGCAGGGCTGGGCAATGGCAATGGCCCTGATCCTGGTGCCACTTTCTGGCGCACCTGCTAGGAATCTTGCAAAATGCGAAGTCGTACAAGAATATATCACCAAGGGCAACTGCTCCACAATAAGGAGTCTAAGCAAGCAAACGAAGAAATCTCAGACGTTGTCTTTTTCTTTGCAATCACTCGTGTATTTGATAGAAGCAATGTCAACTCGCGAGTCAACCCCCGGATGCTTTTCCAGTACAATCAGCACTTCAACCCACAAAGGGGCTTAATCATTGAGCTGATACGATAAAAGCAATGATTATAGTCAACATCTATTTCCATATGGAATGGTTGAATTACGGTGAGAATATAACAACACAAGAAGACGGAAGAAGTAAAAAATAAATTAAAAAAATGAGATCACACGTGAGTGAAGGGAAACGGGGGTATAGGGGAATTTGAAATATTTTTAATATAAAAACTTTAATATAAAATTTCTAACTGTGTTGTATTTGTATACAGCAAAGAGAAGTTTAGAATAATTAGGTATATTTTAATTTAGTTAATTATGTAATAGGTTTATGTTAGAAAATGAATATGGATGTTGAATTTGATGTTTGTAATTTTTCTTTTTTTCGGTTGGGGGTGGGGAGAATTACAGTGAGAATATATCCCATATATGTAACCTCTACACAGAAGACTACGCATCCATAGCTTAGAGAAACGGGCAGGTCTATAAAGGTAGAAAAATGACAAAATTACGAATTTCATCACAAAAGGTTTGTAGAACTAATCCCAGCCTCCATCGCTTGTATGAAAAATCTGTAGAATATACCTGTCCCCATATGCAGGGAAGAACAGAAAAAGGTCTTCTATTTGTTACCCTTCCTTGGGAGATGCTGGCAGGACTCACATATTTAAGAGTGAAGTTAGGAATTCCTTATTGTGGAGCATTTGCCCTTGGTGATATATATTTTGTGTGACTTTGCATTTTGCTATTATATCACTACCCTGTGTATTGTCGAAGGATCCTTGCAAAGCACAGGGGGAGCTGGCTGGGCAAAACTGAGCCCGACTCAGCCGGCAAGGCTAAACTGTCAGGGGGGGACTTTCTGGCAGAGGAACAGTCTCCCTCGGAAGGTGGTGGATTCTTCTTCCTTGGAGGTTTTTAAGCAGAGGTTGGGTGGCCATCCTTCAGGGAGACTTTAGTTGAGATTTCTGCATTGCAGGGGGTTGGACTAGATGACCCTCGGGGTCCCAGCTCTACGATTCTATGATTCTAGGGTGCTTCCACAGCTCGTAAGCAGGCCAGGATGCAGGGCACACACACACACACACACACACACACACACACACACCAAGGAGCCCAGGTGTGTCCTGCTTGGCTCTTTGTGAGATGCCGAGTGTGTGCTCTGGCTCTGCAAAGCCCTCAAGCAGACGGCAAAGAAATACTAGTAAAGGAAATGGAGCGAATGATGTCAGGCTGACATTTCAGCTCTGCTCACAGAAGGCCTCCTCCTCCCTGTGGCAAAAACAATACTGAAGGCAGCAGCTACGGGTTAAAAGCTTGACCTGATTGGCGTACGATATGAGAGCTACAGGTTGCCTTTGTTGGTGGGATAGATTTCAGTGCCTCACTGGTCAGCTACCACTTGCCTTAAGCCGGTCAATAAAGCGCTGACCTGCTACCATCTACCCACTGCTGTGGTTGGAGCTCAGAGCACCACTCAACACATGGACTGAAATTCTGCACTAGGCAAGAGCTCTTTGACAGAGGAACAGACTCCCTCGGGAGGTGGTGGGGTCTCACTGGAGGTTCTTAAGCAGAGGTCGTCTGGTCGTCTGTCACGGATGCTTTAGCTGAGATTCCTGCATTGCAAGGGGTTGGACTAGATGACTCACGGGGTCCCTTCGAACTCTGCAATTCTACAATTCTATTATTCTCCCTGCTGTGGATTTTTTGATGGGTAGCGAGATTGGCTCTCCTGCTGAACCTGTTTCCACATTCCGGGCACTGATATGGTTTCTCCCCTGTATGAATGCTTTGATGGGAAGTGAGATGGGAGTTCCGACTGAAGCTCTTTCCGCATTCCAAGCACTGGTAGGGTTTCTGCCCTGTGTGGATGCTTTGATGGGAAGCGAGACTTTCCTTCCGACTAAAGCTCTTTCCACACTCTTGGCACTGAAATGGTTTCTCCCCACGGTGAATACTTTGATGTCGGCGGATGTTTGCACTTGTAGTAAAGGTCTTCCCACATTCCAGACACTGGTAGGGTTTCTCCCCTGTATGAATTCTTTGGTGGTACGTGAGACTTTCCTTCCAAGGGAAGCTCTTCCCACATTCCAAGCACTGATAGGGTTTCTCCTCTCTATGAATTCTTTGATGAGACGTGAGATGGGAGTTCCGACCGAAGCTCTTTCCGCATTCCAAGCACTGGTAGGGTTTTTCCCCTGTATGAATGCTTTGATGGGAAGTGAGATTGGAGCTCTTATTGAAGCTCTTTCCACATTCCAAGCACTGATACGGTTTCTCCCCGCTGTGAATTACCTGATGTCGGCGGACGTTTGTGTGTATGTTAAAGCACTTCCCACATTCCAAGCACTGATAGGGTTTCTCTCCTGTATGAGTGGTTTGATGGGAAGTGAGACTTCTCTTCCGAATGAATCTCTTTCCACATTCCAAGCAGTGATAAGGTTTTTCTCCTGTATGAAGTCTCTGATGGGAAGTGAGACTTTCCCTCCGACTGAAGCTCTTTCCACATTCCAAGCATTGATAAGGTTTGTTCCCAATGGGATTTCTTTGATGGGAAGTGGAATGGGAGCTTTGGCTGAAGCTCTCTCCATACTCCAAATGTTGATACGGCTTATCCACCGTCTGAATTATGTCATGGTCTCCCTTCTTCTTATTTTCCCATTTATCATCACCTGAAATGAAGAAAAAGATGGATTAGAGTCTCAGGAAGAAATGGGAGTTCCCAATTATGGAGCAATGCTCATTAACACTTGTGATACAGGGAGTTAGATGGAAAGTCTTATTCCAGGGTTCACGGCCTTTGATTGCTGGCATTAACAGAAATACCTATGAGAACCTGAGATTCGAATAGCCTGTCTCTCTCCTGGGATAGATATTGCCCAATCATGGAATCTGCTCCACCTCCAATAGCTGTCCTCTCTTTAGTCAATCAAAAACAGACAGAAGCAAAGAAGAAAAAAGCAGTTCAGACCAGCCTGATCAATGTCTAAAAAGAAACAACAGGAGGAACAATATTAACAGACAAAATAATCAACAGCCCCCCATGCAAGGTGAGTTGTGGGGGTGTTAGCATTGCATCCCAGATGCTGCAAGTGGCCCTGTTGATTTCCATCAAAATCGGGGAGGCTTTGTTGGGATATTCTGTTCCACCTTAAGGACAGACGTGTGGAATTGTTGTATGTCACATGTCTGTTTACACTCCAGTACAGCTTGCTGGGAACTTCTGTTTGTGTATAGCTTTTGCTGTCTTGCTTTGGACACGAAGGAGATCAGACATGTTTTCCTTTTGTCCTGATGTAGCTGAATAAACTGCTTGTAAATATGCTCAGACAACTTCTCCTTCTGCTTCTGTTGCGTAGTGTTTACTCTGCTGAGTAGCGTGCCCCAGCTTCTGAAGCTTGGGTCGCAGATGCTGCGTCAAGGACTGGAGATCGCCCGGCACAATGGCCGGTGGGCTGGAGCCAGCGGGGGGCCTGCCAATTGCCCCTGTTTCCTTGGTTGCATGTCAACAGGCTTATCACAGAGAGGTATGTGTGGAATTTCCGAAGAGATATTATGATCCACAAGGGAGCCTTACTGAGAGAGGCCACGATCCCGCGATTCTCCTCCATGACTTCCTTATGCAGAGCTCTCTGGTCAGGATCCAGCAACGCCCATTCCTCGTCTGTGAAATGAACAGCGACATCTTCAAAGCACACCGAACCCTAAGAGAGAAAGAGAAAGGTCCTCCTCTTAGTCAGAATGAAGATGATCTGCTATAAATTGCTCTATTGCTTTCTGCTGTGTTATTTTAATGGGATCGTTTTGCTGCACATTTTAATTGTGGGTGTTTCTTTAAATATCTTAATGGAATTATTTTAGTGTGCATTTTAATGATGGACATTAACCTTAGTGTAAATGGGGGAACTCCACAATGTGTTCCTCAAATCACTCTGTCTGTGCCAGCATTGCCGCTCTCCTTTCCCTGTGTGCTCTTTTGGAGGAACCTGATACCCTGAAGTCAACTTTAAGAGAAACACGGGGGCACAGGAAGGGGGAGGAGATTGGGGCAAAAGCCCCATTCCGTAACTCTTGGGGCTGGTTAGCTGAATCCTGGCCCTTTGTGGGATGTAATCCACTGGGAGCAGTCAAATACAACATTCCTTGTTTTGCTAGAGTGGACATGCCGGGGATGTTGGTCCAGTCAGTTGAACTTCCTGTTCCTCCTGGCCTGGAGCATCCTTCCTTGCATGTGACTAGTGGGTGGGTGTGACCTTCCCAGACCTGGGAAAAGGCCAAGGCATACTGCCTCTCTCTCTCTTTTCCATCTTCCTTTCGTCCTGCAAACTTCCTGGACTGAACTGCTGGCTGCCAGCCAAGCAGTCCCCCAGGTCATCTCCCTTATGGGGTAATCCTGTTTTTATATGCTTGCAACTTTCAGCCTTAAGTCTGCCTTCAGGGATCACACTGTGCTCTGCCTGATCATCAGTAAACTTTCTTTTTATTGCTTATGAAGAAGACTATGCTGTATTTATTCAATTAGGAAGGAAAATATCAGAACACGTTTCAATCTGGACAAGCCAGATTGAATTGCTTATTGTCTTAAGAAACTCACATGAGTTTGCAACCAGTTTTCTGCTGTGTAAAGAGGGAATGCACTCTGCTTGCTAGCGCAAGTTAGGACCCCTCACAGTTAAGTCCCATCATGAACGACTCTGGGGTTGTGGCGCTCATCTTGCTTTACTGGCCAAGGGAGCCGACATTTGTCCACAGACAGTTTTTCCGGGTCATGTGGCCAGCATGACCAAGCTGCTTCTGGTGAACCAGAACAGCGCACGGAAACACCATTTACCTTCCCGCTGGAGCAGTACCTATATATTTACTTGCACTTTGACGTGTTTTCAAACTGCTAGGTAGACAGGAACAGGGACCGAGTAACGGGAGCTCACCCCATCGTGGGGATTCGAACTGCCGACCTTCTGATCGGCAAGTCCTAGGCTCAGGGTTTAGACCACAGCGCCAGCCGCGTCTCTGCAGGAAGGATATTAATAAACAATATATCCTCTCCTGCCGCCCTGAACATTCCCACACACTTTTGTATGGTGTGTAAACTGCTTAGAAGCCTGTGTTTGCATTTAATAATAAATCTAGAAATAAAACTGCAAACAACTGGTGAATCATATTAGCAACATTCAGAAGGCGAGTTAAGGGGAGATGGCTGTTCCTTATTCCCAGCACATAAGCCTTCTAAAATAAATAGTTCAGGGCAGGTTTGTTAAGAAAATGAGAGATTTGCTTGGGTCTGGAGGGACCCCGGCTGCCCCTCCCCACTGCCCCTTCCCCACAATACTCATTTCCCCTACCCCATCTGGTTCCACAGCCGTTGCTCCTCCTTCACCACCAGGAATAGATGGAAGAGGAGGTCTTGCTGGCATCATCTGGTCGCCTGCAAGAGACAGAGGTAAGTGGGAAGCCAGGAGTAGATGCTTTTCTCAGAGGTTAAACACTACATATCAAACTACAAATGGGCCTTTGAAAAAGTCTTGCCTGCTGAATGGATTATGACATTTGCACCCATTTCATATTTTAGTTGTGTTAAGAATACATCTCCCTCCTTGGGGCTCTTGGACAATATTCCCCCAAAAGATGAAAAGAACCCATGTGTCTGTTTTGAAATCCACAGAACGGAACCAAACAGAGAAAAATCTTATTCCTCCTTACCCAGTGGCTTCTCTCTGGTGTCCAACAGAGTCCTTTCAGTCTTAAAGGAATCCAGACCCATTTCTGCAAACAGAACCTGTCTCTGAAATAGCAACAAGGATTCAGAACAGAAAATGGGGAGAAAGATTAGCAATGACTGAGGTGAAAACCTGAGGGGTATCCAATCTCATTCCTTGGATGCTTTCCAAAAAGGGGTGGGCCATTAGTAGAAAATTTAGGGAGACTCTCCCTCATGTTCTGAGCTACTTAGGAAAGTCTCTCTCACCTGCTTTCTCTCCTCCGCCTGACTCAGGAGGAAACCTTCGGCCAAGGCCACCGCCTGGGAACTGGTCTCTGCTCCACATTCCCTCACCCAGCTCTCCATCTCCGGTGGAAGGACAGCCAGGAACTGCTCCAAGATCACCAGGTCCAGCATCTCAGCTTTTGTGTGCCTTTCTGGCTTCAGCCATTGATGGTAAAAGTGGTGGAGTCGGCTGCAAACCTCTCGAGGTCCTTTGGCCTCCTGGAAGCAGAACTGCCTGAACTGCTGGCTCTGCACCTCTGAGCGGAGAGTGTCCTCCTCACCCAGGATCTTCTGCAAAGAGTTTTCCCAAAATGCCCCACTGTTCCCTGTTTTGATGTCATGGCCTCTTCCTGCTTCAGGCCCAGATGAGTCTTGCTCATCCATTTGTGTTCTCAGGAAGCCTCCAAGAGAGATGAAGGAACCCCTTGATCTTCTGCCAAGTTCCGTCTGTCCGAATTAGAGGTGTCAGCAAATTCTACAAAGCTTGTACATTATTCTGCAATAAAACTGACTGTCAGGAAGAAAAAGAAGGAAACCTCTAGCCCAGGCATAGGCAAACTCGGCCCTCCAGATGTTTTGGGACTACAATTCCCATCATCCCTGACCACTGGTCCTGTTAGCTACAGATCATGGGAGTTGTAGGCCAAAAACATCTGGAGGGCCGAGTTTGCCTATGCCTGGGCTAGCCCTTCTAGAAGGAAAGTGACGATGCATAATGTGCCAGCAACTGCAGGGATTTCTGTGAGATGAATCAGCTGTAGATATACCTGCAAATTTATTGTGCTAATTTTGTGTTATACACATGACATGAGAAGACTGTCAGTATTTATTTAATATTATTTGCTTAATTAAAAAGAATTTGGTGGAGGCAAACGTAGAGTGAGCACAGCCTCTGGTAAGAAAGAGGTGCAGCAGTTTAAAAACTTACAAAACACTGGATAACATTAACAAATATGAATATTCTAGTCCTGGAGGGTCATGAGAACAGGTTTAGTTGCAGGCATATTTATGGTATGAGAAGGCAAAAGTACATAAAGGTTTTTTGAATCCTCTTGTAAGAAAACCAATCTATATGGTATGGGAGAAATATAAAAATTTATTAGAACAGAAAACACCCTGGTGGCTTTCCCCACTAGAAGCAATATCCTTGAAAAAATTAAATACCAGAAACGATTGGGCAACATATAAAAAGTTGTTAACGGAAGTAGAAAAACAGTTGAAATTGCAAAATTTTGAGGACATATGAAATTTATTAACTGATTGGTTACAATATCACCAACTAGATGATATATTTAAGATGGATAAAAAGAATGGAGTTAGTAATGAAATCTCAAGGTTTGAAAAAGAATTGTTAGAGAATAATTTATAATTACTTTCTAAAATGTACAAACTAATTTTAGAATGGTATACAAAAGCTGAAGAAGTTAAATCTGTAATGATACAGTGAGCGATTTTGGGTACAATGTAGATTTCATCATGAGAGAAGTTATGGAAAGATGATCTGAAATTTACAGCATGTTGTATGTTGAAAGAAAAATATATATTAATGATGTACCTTTGGTATCTAACTCCCAGTAAGATAGCAAAAATGTATAAGACAGCTACAAATATCTGTTGGAAATGTATGGAAAAAGAAGGCCCTTTTTATCATATGTGGTGGACAGGCAAAGTAACAAAAGCATTCTGGGAAATGTTTAAAATAACTTTTATTTAAAAAGCCAGAAGTTTTTATTTTAGGAAATATAGGTGCTAAAATTCCAAGGGAACAGAAAAGATTGTTTATGTATGTTCTTGGCCCAAAGATGGAAAGAAGACAAAGTCCCTACCAGAGAAGAATGGCAGATCAAGTTGATGGACTATGATGAAATGGCAAAAATGACCCGAAAAATAAGAAATCAAGAAGACCAAAACTTTAATAAGGAATGGGGAAAATTTATAACTTATCTTTAAAAACCATTGTAAACAGTGCGATTTCAATAATACTTGTAATGTAACGAGAACTATGGATACAACAGAGATACAAAAATTCTGAATTATTGCAAAAGATACGGTAGGAAAAGTTTAACAATAAGGCCCACAAGGGGGAGGAGGAAAGCCCAGGGGATTTCGTGGGAACCTGTGTTTCTTTATATAATGTTGTGGTGTCAGTGTAAATTTTTATTTTGAATATTAAATAAATAAATCTGGAAAAAAGTTATAAAACATGCAAAGAAATGAAGCACCGGGATTTGGGCTATGAGACATTTTTCAACATCTCGTTGCTACCAGCGCTTCCCCTTTCTACCCCTCTGGCATAGAAGAGACCACACACTTTGGTAAGTGAAGATGTTTTTTTACTTACAAACTTTCCAAGTTCAGAGTCATGCATATCTCCATGCAGCAGCAAGAAAACACAGGCAGAAATCTTGGGTTACAAAACGGAACAGAAGGTTTCTGAATGCGTGGCCTGGCCTTAAAGAGGTCAGATACGTTCTATCTGGTCAAGTTCGCATGGTAAAAGGGGCCAAACAGCAGAAGGCAAGGGAGCAAAGATTTTCCCGGGGTTCATCAGCAAAGGACTCCCCGCAACTGGGACTCCAAAGCCTTGCATCGCCCTCTGCTCCTTCGCCAACTGGCCTCGTCCTCTTTCAAAGCCATCTCGGTTCCAGAGGTTTCAGTGCACGTTGCATGATGGAAGGACTTTCCTTTGAGAGCCCTCCATCTGTCAACATCCACTCTTTCTTTCTGGCACAGGGTTTCGTTTGTTATAAGAATTTTAAGGTCTTTGATATATATTAAATGTTCATAAATGTACCAAGCAAACACATGCATAAATATATAAACCACATGTCTGGAGCAGCACAGGAAGACAGTCCTGAAACCATTTTGACTCCCCCGCTGACCAAATGTTTCTCTGCAAGGAGGGAGGAGGTGGAAAAAACACCTTCCTTGTTACAGGAATTTAGTAATCACCATTTCAAAGGAATGGCCAGACTACCAGGAAAGACAATCAGATAAGGCATTATCAGAAAACCTGGCAGGCAGGAAAAATAATAATAAAATAATAATAATTTATTATTTGTACCCCGCCCATCTGGCTGAGTTTCCCCAGCCACTCTGGGCGACTCCTGATCAAGTGTTAAAAACAATACAGCATTAAATATTAAAAACTTCCCTAAACAGGGCTGCCTTCAGATGTCTTCTAAATGCCAGGTAGTTGTTTATCTCTTTGACATCTGGTGGGAGGGTGTTCCACAGGGCGGGTGCCGCCACCGAGAAGGCCCTCTGCCTGGTTCCCTGTAGCCTCACTTCTCGCAATGAGGGAACCGCCAGAACAACAACATTCAAATTTCTGTTGTAGACCACCTTTTCTGTGATGTATGTATGATGTATGGAGGGGTGGTCTTGAGTTCCAGGGCAGGGAATTTAAAATGTCTATATAAGTGCAGGCACACCTTTGTTCTGTGTCCTCCTCCTTTCCTGCGTGTTAGGGGAGCACCCTGTTGCAGCAGACCAATCAAGATCAGGCTTACTAGCTGCTTTGCTTCTCAATATTCTCTGGTTGGCCTCTGTTATTTTCTCCTACCAATAGGGAACCCACGTAAGTACTCTTGGGTACCCCATAAGGGAAGAAGGGCAGATTTTGTTCACAACACGTTTCACGTCGGAATGTTTCCGTGCGGCTGCGGCATCCATTCATAAACGTGACTGATCCATCAATCTGAACGGGGTTCATTCCCATGCGTTTCCCGCGCCGCCCTCCTTCGACCCAAAAACCCTCCCCAAAGGGTCCAGTTGCGCATCCATGCAAAGGAAGAGCAGAGTTGCTGCCCTCCTGCGACCCCGCCCCTCCCTGGCAGGACCCTCCGCTCCTTGACTTGGGGGTCCCCCCCTTGCAGGCTCCCCACATGCAGGTTCCCCTGTAGCCCTGGGACACCCCGTGCACCCTCTGGGAGAGAGAGAGAGGAGACTCACCGGATCCCAGCAGGCGCCGCCGGGGCAGCATTGGCAGGGAGAGACAGAAGCGCCCCCTTTTTTGCAGGAAAAGTCTGGGGAGGCGGGGAGGGGCTTTTGCTCTGGAGGACCTGCCCTCCGCGTCTTTCTTTCCTGCCCTCTCTAGGAATCCAGCTCGTTTCTGTTTAACCCTTGGCAGGCCGAGGGCACCCAGCTCTCCCTCTTCTCTCCCTCTGGAGAGCAGGAGCCCCGGAGGAGCCACGTGCATGGCGCGCAAAGCACCCAGAGATGCTTTATTTGGGGGACCCTCCTGGCCGGGGGCTGAGCTTCCCCCTCCCTGGCCTAGAAGCCGGAGGCAAGTGATCTCCGCTGTTACGGAAATTACGGGGGCGGGGGCACATCTTTAAAGTTGCTAAATGTTACAAATATTATGCCTGAAAATGTATCCTTTCAACTTGACAGCTCAGGGAAGTTACCTAGCTTTAAAAAATAATATAAAATCATTACAAATATTATGCCTGAATGTATTCTTTCAACTTGACAGCTCAGGGAAGTTACCTAGCTTTAAAAAGAATATAAAATCATCTCCTTTGCCAGTTTCCTCCATTCCAAAGCTATTTTCCCCTTGAAAAAGGACTCCAGGAAGTTTCCAGAGGTGACAATTGCTGGGCTCGTTGTTAGCCAAAGGAAGCCAAATCTCATCACCTGACTCGCCTCAGGCTCCAGACATGCAAAGGAACTTCTATTGTACTTTTGGGTGGTGGGTACTTATGACATAATTGTCTATGCTCATCTTATACTTGTGTGTTTCCCTAACACATCTGTCTATGCTAATGACGTGTAACCCTCCCCTTTTGTGACATGTCAGTGATGTAGCAGTGATGCAGCAATGATGCTGTACGAACTGTATTCTGGGATATGGTGGGAAGGTTTTAAAAGTCCTTGTCACCCCATCCTCGGGGTTCAATCTCCTTTTGAACCTGTTGCACAATAAACTCGGATCTTCAGCTATTTGCTCCGGTTGGCTGGACTCCTTCCTTTATTCTGCAGGGACCCGCAGGCTCAGCCCGACGAGCTGGGGGACTGAGCAGCCTGGCACCTAGATTTTTCTGTAACACCCCCCTCCTAAAGAAAGGCTCAACCTCCACGCCCATGGGTGCCTGTGGCCAGCCCAGACCCTGGAGCATCTGCATCTCTGCCCCAGCTTGAAACGTGAGGAGGGGAAGCTAGGGGCTGCAGTGCTGGCAAACCTTGTCTCCCCCTCCCCGTCCAGACAGAGGAATGGCCTTGTGGGGTTGGACAAGAGAGTCCCATCTGGGTGGTGTGGAGTGGGCAGTGCGGGGGCTTCTAACTGTAAAGTAGGGAGGGCCCTCCTGAGTCATCTAGTTGAACCCCCAGCATAGTAGTAATCTCAGCTAAGCATCACAGGCAGGGGGCCATCCAAGCTCCCCCCACCCCACCAAAGGAAGGCACTCTCCCCACTGGCTGTGCTGTGCTGCCCTCTGAATGGCCCCTCCTGGCACACTTTCCTGTGGCCAGCGACTCTTCCCCAGGGAGGGCATCTGAACAAGAGACCACCCCCTGTAGGGTGCTGTGTTGATGTCAGCCAGGCTAAGTGAAAGCAAAGGAGCTGCGCGTTGGCACTGAGGGTTCCCAGACTTCAGCCGGTGCCCTCCAGGTTTTCTGAGTGCAGGCATCGTGCTGGCTGGCACGGAGGGGAACTGCAGGCCAATCTGCCTAGGGGGCACCTGCGTGGAGATGGCGGTGCCAGGGAGAAGAGCAGCAGGTTCAGCCAGAGGCTCCTAAAGGCTCTGCCCAGTTTCTTGGTGTGGAAGATGTGACCAGCCAGCAGGGTGCTGACCCCTACTGGCCCCTGTTACCCAAGGTAAAGGACCCCTGGATGGTCAAGTCCAGCCAAAGGCGACTATGGGGACTTACTTCTGAGTAAGCGTGCATCAGATGGAACGGCAAATCCCTTTGAACCGCGTAGGGGTTACTCCTAAGTAAGCATGCATCAGGCAGGGCTGCAGAGTGGTGCTTCCAAAAGCAGCCAGTTTGCACATCTCATGGGATTTAATGTCTTGCCATTATAAATGCACGGGGATAAGTGCATTTACACTGACACATTTCCACAAAACACCCAAACTCCGGCATGTAGCCGCAGGTGATACAATAGGAGCCTTTCTGCAAATGGCCTTTGCAACACAACTCACTGGATGGTAACAAAGTATACACGTTTGCCTCTTTACAACGGATGCTTCCGCTTAGCCCCGTTTCCTCAATGAATCCACCCATTTCAGTAAAACCTGAGCTGAAATAGTACGGAGAGCAAAACAGCAGCCCTGTCTGACCCTCGTCAGCCTCCAGACTCCCCAGTCACGTGACAGGAGATTCATCCTGAGCCCCTCCCCCCCGTGAGACGGGTATGACATCATGGATGATCCACATGATCCAAGCAGACTCGTCCAAAGAGCAGATCTCTATGCCTGAAAGAAACGGGTCTGCGATGATGGATTCTGGAGTCAAGAAATCTTCCCTTTCCAGTGATCTCTCAGGCTGGCCGGGAAAAGGCAGCGAGCAGGAATCCTCAGGCATCCCGATGGACAGATTTGTCATGTTGCCAAAACATGAACTCGGAGTCTGATCTGATTTCCATGCAGAACTCATTTTGTGACTTCGCTGTTGGATTGTCGGGATCAGCCCCTTCCCCGCTCTCCTGATCCCAGAAGGAAGACGGGGGGGGGGGGGATTTCTACTCCTCCTTCTCCCCCCACCCGCTCAAAACCTTCCCTCCCCTCCCGGCACATCCTTCTCTCATCCCGCCCACACAATCCCAAATCACACCCCCAATACATTGCTCCTCCTCCTCCTCCTCCTCCTCCTCCAATCCGGTTTCTGCTCCAGAAATGTGGGGCGGGGGGCCCCCCTCCCAACCTTTCTGCTTCTCCCGGAAGTGGAGCTTCCACTCCGGATTGCTGCTCTGCCCCATAGCTGGGGGGGGGGGCGCTTTCGGAAAGGGGAGGGAGGAGGCAGGGGACCCCCCCCCCCGTGGATGTTGCAGGAAACGAGAATCGGGAGAGAGGAGAAAGAGGTAAAGGGGTCGCGGGGGGGAAGGAGAGGGAGGGGGTAAGGACCCAGAGACCCCCGCCAGCTCCCCCAAGCGCCTTCCGTGGGGCCTGGATCCTGGCACGCGTGCTGCGAAGGGGGCTTTCCTCGCAGGGCGGACCCCTCACCCGTCTCCCCTGGCTCTGCGCGGAGAAAAGCGGCCCATGAAAGGGTTAAGGGGCGCGAGAGACGCCTGGATAGAGACCCCCCTGTCCCTCCCCTGCTTCTCTTGGGGGGGCGCCTCTGGCTGGAGAGATGGGGGCGCAGGACGTCAGGTGAGCGGCGCCAAGGTAGCGTCTGGATGCAGGGGAGACTCCGAGAGAGAGGGATGGGGTCAAGGAAATTGGGGGGGGGGGAGGGAGAGGAGCATCCCTGGGGTAGGGAAGGGCAGCATTGGCGGCGGGGGGGGGGGGGAGATATCGCGTCTCCATTGTGGCAGCTGCGGGGGATCTCTGGTGGAACAGCCTTGGCCTCTCTCTCCCGCCCAGTAATCGACCCCCCCCCTTCAAGGCGACCAGAGAGGGATCCCTGGAAAGTGGGGGGTCCTGTCCCCCCACCCTTCCTTCCTGCATTCTCCATCCTCTTCCTGCCCCATAAGCCCCTGCCCTGTCCAGACACAGCGACTCTGCCCAGTCCAACCATTGGTCCCCTGGAGAGGAGAGGAAATCCAGAGGAAGAGATGTCAGTATTTGTAAGAAGAAAAGAAAAGCTTCTGGCCTCCCTTTGTCGCCTCAGCCTGGTCCTTGGGCCCTTGGCAGCATAAAAGATTATTATTATTATTATTATTATTACAGACGCTTCAGGTTACAGACTCCACTAACCCAGAAATAGTACCTCATGTTAAGAACTTTGCTTCAGGATGAGAACAGAAATCGTGCTCTGGCGGTGCAGCGGCAGCGGGAGGCCCCCTTAGCTAAAGTGGTGCTTCAGGTTAAGAACAGTTTCAGGTTACGAATGGAACTCCGGAACGAATTAAGTACTTAACCCGAGGTACCACTGTATTCTAAAAAGTCTTTCTGCAAAAGCGACTGACCAACTGTACACACATCAACACTGCCAGCTTTCACCAACCAACCAAGCCAATTCCAAACTAACATTTCTCACTCTATATATACAACCCGCAGCTTTTTAAGCATTAAAGAAACAGCGGCCAATTTTTAGCTGTGACAAGAGAGGCGGGGAGAGGCCTTCTCAGAAGCGGCGCTTGGTTTCCGCAATCCCACCCAGGAAGCAGCCAGGAACCTTTTCCTCTCTCTCAGGCTTCCATCTTTAAGCGTCTTTTCCACTGAGGATGAGGATAATGTACACCTGTCATCAGAAACAGGGGTGCAGAGTCCATGGAATGGCTCTCAGGATTGATACAGAAGCTGCACCTCAAAAGCATTTTTTTTCTTTTTTTTATAATTTTTATTAAAGTTTTAAACAACAAAAGAAAGAAAAACAACACACACAAAAAACAGTACAAAACTCAACAATAAAAAACACAAAGCATAACAATTAAAAACAAACTCTCTTTTCCATTTCCAATTTTAAATTACTTATTTTCTGGACTTCCTCATACCTCCCTCTTTTGTATTCCAATCCACATTATTTGTCCAGCAGTTTCTTTTCCACTTTTTAATCCCAATCTTAAATTTAATAAAATGTTAAAATATATAACTTCAACTTTTTTAAACCTAATCCTTGATCTTAATATCATATAACTTTAAAATTTTCCCTTTTAATATCAAATTTCCATTTCTTTAAACATCTTTAATCTTGATCTTTAATCTTAATCTATCATTAACTTTAACCTGTGCAGCTGGAAACCACTTACTTTCAGTCCAACATCCCTTTAACATTCCTTAATTTTGCAATGTTTCTGAAGATAGTCTTTGAATTTCTTCCAGTCTTCCTCCATCGACTCTTCTCCCTGGTCACGGATTCTACCAGTCATTTCCGCCAATTCCATATAGTCCATAAGTTTCATCTGCCATTCCTCCAGCGTGGGAAGTTCTTCTGTCTTCCAATACTTTGCGATGAGTATTCTTGCTGCTGTTGTTGCATACATAAAGAAAGTTCTATCCTTTTTAACACCATTTGGCCCACTATGCCCAGGAGAAAGGCCTCTGGTTTCTTAGGGAAGGTATACTTAAATACCTTTTTTAATTCATTATATATCATTTCCCAGAAAGCCTTAATCTTTGGGCACGTCCACCAAAGGTGAAAAAATGTACCTTCAATTTCTTTACATTTCCAACATTTGTTATCGGGCAAGTGATAGATTTTCGCAAGCTTGACTGGGGTTATGTACCACCTGTATATCATTTTCATAATATTCTCTCTTAAGGCATTACATGCCGTAAATTTCATACCTGTGGTCCATAACTGTTCCCAGTCAGCAAACATAATGTTATGTCCAACGTCCTGTGCCCATTTAATCATAGCCGATTTTACCGTTTCATCTTGAGTATTCCATTTCAGCAGCAAGTTATACATTCTTGACAAATTCTTAGTCTTGGGTTCTAACAATTCTGTTTCTAATTTGGATCTTTCCACCTGGAAGCCAATTTTCCTGTCCAATTTAAATACCTCCATTATCTGATAATAATGAAGCCAGTCTCGCACTTTGTTTTTTAGTTTTTCAAAACTCTGCAATTTCAGTCTATCTCCGTCTTGTTCCAAAATTTCCCAATATTTCGGCCATTTGACCTCCATATTGACCTTTTTCAAGGCTTTCGCTTCCATTGGTGACAGCCACCTTGGGGTTTTGTTTTCTAACAAATCCTTATATCTTATCCAAACATTAAACAGCGCTTTCCTGACAATGTGGTTTTTAAATGCTTTATGTGCTTTGACCTTATCATACCATAAATATGCATGCCATCCAAATACATTATTAAAACCTTCTAGGTCCAAAATGTCAGTGTTTTCAAGAAGTAGCCATTCTTTCAACCAGCAAAAGCTGCTGGTTCATAGTAAAGTTTGAGGTCTGGCAGGGCAAATCCACCTCTTTCCTTTGCATCCGTTAGTATTTTAAATTTTATTCTGGGTTTCTTGCCCTGCCAGACAAATTTAGAAATATCTTTCTGCCACCTCTTGAAACAATCCATTTTGTCCACAATCTGCAAAGTTTGAAACAAAAACAACATTCTAGGCAATACATTCATTTTTATCGCAGCAATACGGCCTAGCAGTGAAAGCTTCAAATTTGACCAAATTTCTAAATCTTTTTCACTTCTGACCAACATTTTTCATAGTTATCTTTAAATAAATTCCCATTTTTGCTGTCATGTTAATCCCCAGGTATTTAACTTTCTTAACCACTGTTAAACCTGTCTCATTCTGAAACCTCTCTCTTTCAAACGGTGTTAAATTTTTCTCTAGAACCTTGGTTTTTGATTTGTTCAATTTAAATCCTGCCACTTGACAAATTCTTGAATCAGTTCTAAAACCCTTTTAGTACTAGATTCTGGCTCCTGTAACGTCAATACTAAGTCATCTGCAAATGCTCTCAATTTATAGTGTTTAGTTCCGACCCAAAAGCATTTCTGTTCCTCTTATTCTTTGTAGCCAAAGTCAGAGTGACTGACAAGCTGAGATGCAATCCATCAGCATCCGGTGACAGCGACTGCATGAATCTTTTGTCACGTGACAAAGACACATGAGAGCAGAAGCAGCAAAGCAGGCTGGGAAGTGCAGGGACTGCACAGTCCTTTGGGCCTACTCAATTTATTCAGCCCTAACGGCTAACTGTGGAGTCATTCTGACATGTGACGTAGTAGCCAGTTGCAATTTGTGCTCTCTGTAAGATTTCAGCAAGAGTCTGTCTGTCTCAGCCGTGAGCAGAGTCTGTATGCAATCTCAGTCAAACTGTTTGGAACCATACTGTTTATGAAGAAGCTTATTTTAATTCAGTAAAGCTTTTATTCTTTAAAACTCTGCATTATTAATTTATGCTGCGTGTCATCTTCCCAGTCAAAGGACCCATTTTCAGGATAGACAGTGCCTGTGGCTGGAGGCTCTACACACCGGGTGTGCCTGTGGAGGCCAAAGACTGCCAGTATTAGCACAGGTGAGGTGTGTGACCTCCCCAAATTTACTGACTGTATATAAATGAGAAGTCGTGGGTGGGATTATATTTTACAGCAACCCTGTGATTTTCTCCACCCATAACATTTTGTGAGCTGATATAGCAGTACGAATTCCAAAATAACTTCTAAAAACCCCACAAGATCATCATCATCATCATCATCATCATCATCGCATTCATACCCCCAGGCCTTAGTTTGCCTCCCCATGATCTAGAGAAAACACCAGCTTTGAATCATACAGAGTAAAACTACCAGAACCTTCTTGAACCGATAGGTTAGGAATTATCGCTGTACTTAGATCCGTACTTTTCTATGCCTGAAAAATGCAACCATGACACTGGGAATGTTCAGGAATGCAGGAGAGGATATATTGTTTGATTATATCCTTTCCAACTTGTGTTAACAAGTTGTACAATTTAGCAGAGTAACATTCCCCTCTTTAAACTAACAGCGGATGCATTTGCTCAGGCTTGCTAAAGCCTCTAAAATAAGTTTCCTTGGTAATTCCCACATTAGTCCCTCATAAAAAGATAGACATGACACAATCTTCTATAAAAGTATAAAAAGAGTTTACTCACACATTCTGTTCACAAATGGATCCCAGAAGGCGGTGACCCCCAGGCTGCACACCTGGTCCTTCACGGGCACAGTTACCCCATCAGGACCAGGAATGCCCCCACCCTCCCCCAGGGACAGTATTTTTGACTTGTCAGGATTCAACCTCAATGTGTTAGCTGCCATCCATCCTCCAACCACCTCCAAACAGACACACAGGGCATTCACCATCTTCACTACTTCCGATTTGAAAGAGAGGAAGAGCTGGGCATCATCCACATACTGGTGAACACCCAGCCCAAACCCCCTGATGATCTCTCCCAGCAGCTTCATATAGATAGTAAAAAGCATGGGGGAGAGAATGGAGTCCTGAGGCACCCCACAAGTAAGCATCCAGGGGTCTGAACACTCATCCCCCAAGACCACTTTCTGGACATGGCCCAGGAGGAAGGAGGGGAACCACTGCATAGCAGGGCCCCCGGCTCCCCTAGAGGGTCCAGAAGGACACCATGGCCAAAGGTCTCCAAAGCCGCTGAGAAAACCAGGAAACAGCTTCCCCCTCAGCCTCTGGCCCGTTGGAGATCATCAACCAGCACAACCAGGGCAATTTCAGTCCCATGATGAGGCCTGAATCCCCATTGGAAGGATCATGGCGGCAGGAGCTTTCTTGGTCCTGCACCCCCAAAAGCTCCAGCCACAAGACTTTCATTAGCTTTGAAGGGGCCACATGATACACTGTGGTCTTTTCTTCGAAAAATAAATATTTTGAATACTTTTACAGTGCCGTATGATGTAAATATGGGATCCGGGTGGCGCTGTGGGTTAAACCACAGAGCGTAGGACTTGCCAATCAGAAGGTCAGCAGTTCAAATCCCCGTGATGCGGTGAGCTCCCATTGCTCGGTCCCTGCTCCTGCCAACCTAGCAGTTCGAAAGCACGTCAAAGTGCAAGTAGATAAATAGGTACTGCTCTGGCGGGAAGGTAAACGGCGTTTCCATGCGCTGCTCTGGTTCGCCAGAAGCGGCTCAGTCATGCTGGCCACATGACCCGGAAGCTGTATGCCGCTGGCTCCCTCGGCCAATAAAGCGAGATGAGCGCCGCAACCCCAGAGTCGGCCACGACTGGACCTCATGGTCAGGGGTCTCTTTACCTTTACCTTTATGATGTAAATTTTGTTTCTGTTTCCCTTGTTCCACATCGGAGAGACTTTGATACACAGCTCTGAGCCCATCTCCCCACTTGAAACTGCTGTGTTTGTAGCACTGCCAGCCTAGCCAACAAGACCCCCTTCTCAGCCTGGCTGATATGGTCCCAAGGAAAGCAGAGCAGTATGTTTGGCACCAGCTTGGCTGCAGGAGTTGAATGAAGAAGGTGTGCAGGACACCATCCAACCGTCTTAGAGACTCCACTCTGAAATTGTGTGGGTTTCCCTCCATAGCCTTTTCTTCTCCTGAACATAACTCACGAGGCAGTGAAGGTTTAGGACCAGAGTTTTCCTTCTCGATGGGCTTCCTTCCCCGGTTGACGATCCCATCTGCCCTTCACTTTCCTCTTCCGCACGGGCAGAATCTGCCTTCTAGACTGTGGGATTCACTGTTCTTCTCCTCCTCTCCATCCACCAGGGCTTGACTTCAGGTGCAGCAGAATTCCCCAGCCCCCCAAGGATTTGAGACCCATCAGCTTTCCTCACCTGGTTTTGCCAGCCGGTTGAAGCCATTCCTGGGATTGTGGCCCCTGTTGCATCCTGACAGCTTCTGGAAGGCACAGGTGAGAGCTGAGTGCAGGGTGGGGACCACCAAAGGTACTACCGCTCCCATGACACCTCATGACATCATATAATAGCTACATTTGAGACAGAACCGGAATAAATTCATGTCTCTAGAAATAACACAACTTCAGGCCATCAATAATTCAACACTACATATTCAAGGTTGAAGTTTTCACTAGTACAGTTATCCATTTGCCTTTAATATGCAGCTTTTCAGTGTCACTTTAGGATGGGCTCGAGATCAGGCAGCACATCATTATTATAAGGAACAGTGGGGGTCTGGGATTCCAATGTGCCAGCTGCTTTTCTTCTGCTTCTCCTGCTAGAATCATAGAATCATAGAATCATAGAATCATAGAGTTGGAAGAGACCACAAGGGCCATCGAGTCCAACCCCCTGCCAAGCAGGAAACACCATCAGAGCACTCCTGACATATGGTTGTCAAGCCTCTGCTTAAAGACCTCCAAAGAAGGAGACTCCACCACACTCCTTGGCAGCAAATTCCACTGTTGAACAGCTCTTACTGTCAGGAAGTTCTTCCTAATGTTTAGGTGGAATCTTCTTTCTTGTAGTTTGGATCCATTGCTCCGTGTCCGCTTCTCTGGAGCAGCAGAAAACAACCTTTCTCCCACCTCTATGTGACATCCTTTTATATATTTGAACCCATATGGCTATCATATCACCCCTTAACCTCCTCTTCTCCAGGCTAAACATGCCCAGCTCCCTTAGCCGTTCCTCATAAGGCATCGTTTCCAGGCCTTTGACCATTTTGGTTGCCGTCCTCTGGACACGTTCCAGTTTGTCAATGTCCTTCTTGAACTGTGGTGCCCAGAACTGGACACAGTACTCCAGGTGAGGTCTGACCAGAGCAGAATACAGTGGCACTATTACTTCCCTTGATCTAGATGCTATACTCCTATTGATGCAGCCCAGAATTGCATTGGCTTTTTTAGCTGCCGCGTCACACTGTTGGCTCATGTCAAGATTGTGGTCAAGCAAGACTCCCAGATCCTTTTCACCTGTACTGCTCTCAAGCCAGGTGTCACCCATCTTGTATTTGTGCCTCTCATTTTTTTTGCCCAAGTGCAATACTTTACATTTCTCCCTGCTCTCTCCATGCAATGTGAGGCATGTAGATGGAGGTCCATCTCCAAGAACAGGAGCTTCCTGAGCACCCATTCAGCTGACCCCAAGCACCAAGCCTTGTCACTAGTTCTCTGACTGACCCAGACCACAGTCCCTGGAGAAGATGTAGACCTGGGTCTCCCAAAATGGTCCACATGGACCTCTTGTGGCCAATGAGACTGTGCAGGTGATTCATAAAGATCTAGAGGTGGATGCAGGATTATGATGCAGAGGATGGGGAATGTCCAAAGGAACGATGGACCAGAGAAAGAGAGGGCCTGTTCACGGACAGTGAGCAGCTGCCTTTCCTGTGAGGAAACAATTGATTTGAAAAGGCTGTATTCCAAGATCATGCTGCTTTATTAACAATGATTGAGGATTATGAAAGGTGGTGATGCATTACTATCATTTGATGACATTGCTTTTTCATTTCCAAAAAATTGGGAACATGGGTAGGAGGCGGGGGAATGTAGGAGATGTTGATATAAGACAGTGCTAATGGCACTTGATGTGTTGTCTGTCCCTTTGTTCTCTTTCTTGTAACCCAAACAGGATTTTCTTTCCTCCCACTTTGAAGAAGGTGATGGAGAAGACATTCAGAATTCCAAGGAATGGGGCACCTTTCGTTTCATGAGGAATAGAAGTTAAAATGTGTGAAATGTGGGATATGCTTCATTGAATGAGGACACATAGCTCACATCAATGACTCCGAGAGGAGAAACCATTTAAAGGTATGGAGTGTGGGAAAAGTTTCACTGATAGTGGAAAACTTAGAACACATCAGTGGATTTACATGGACAAGAAAGGATTACAATGCAGGGAGTGTGGAAGAACTTCAGTCAGAGAGGATTACTCAATATACATGAGCGGACTCACACAGGGGAAAAACCTTTTAAATGCATGGAGTGCGAGAAAAGCTTCCATCAGAGTGGACACTTAAGTTCACATCTACGGATTCACACGGGTGAAAAACCTTTTAAATGTATAGAGTGCGGAAAGAGCTTTAGTGATAGTGGACACCTTAGAAAACATCAACGGATTCACACAGGGGAGAAACCATATAAATGTATAGAGTGCGGAAAGAGCTTTAATCATACTGGAGACCTTAGAAAACATCAACGGAGTCACACAGGGGAGAAACCATATAAATGTATAGAGTGCGGAAAGAGCTTCAGTCAGAGTGGAGACCTTAGAAAACATCAACGGATTCACACAGGGGAGAAACCATTTCAATGTATGGAGTGTGGAAGAAGCTTCTGTCAGAGTAGACAGTTAAGTTCACATCTACGGATTCACACGGGTGAAAAACCTTTTAAATGCATGGAGTGTGGGAAGAGCTTCAGGCAGAATGGAGAACTTAAATTACACCAGCGAAGTCACACTGGTGAAAAACCATATAAATGTATGGAGTGTGGAAAGAGCTTCATTCAGAGTGGGCAGTGCAATATGCATCAACGGACTCACACAGGGGAGAAACCATATAAATGTATAGAGTGTGGAAAGAGCTTTAGTGATAGTGGAGACCTTAGAAAACATCAACGGATTCACACAGGGGAGAAACCATATAAATGTATAGAGTGCGGAAAGAGCTTCAGTCAGAGTGGAGACCTTAGAAAACATCAACGGATTCACACAGGGGAGAAACCATTTCAATGTATGGAGTGTGGAAAAAGCTTCTGTCGGAGTGGATACTTAAGTTCACATCAACGGACTCACACGGGTGAAAAACCATATAAATGTATGGAGTGTGGAAAGAGCTTCAGTCGGAGTGGACACCTCAATAATCATCACCAGACTCACACAGGGGAGAAACCATATAAATGTATGGAGTGTGGAAAGAGCTTCAGTCGGAGTGGCCACCTCAATAACCATCACCAGACTCACACAGAGGAGAAACCATATGAATGCAGGGAGTGTGGAAAGAGCTTCAGTCAAAATGGATACCTTAAAACACATCAACGGATTCACACAGGGGAGAAACCATATAAATGTATGGAGTGCGGAAAGAGCTTCAGTCAAAATGGATACCTTAAAACACATCAACGGATTCACACAGGGGAGAAACCATATAAATGTATGGAGTGCGGAAAGAGCTTCAGTCAAAATGGATACCTTAAAACACATCAACGGATTCACACAGGGGAGAAACCATATAAATGTATAGAATGTGGAAAGAGCTTCAGTTACCATTCAGGCCTTAGATCACATCAACGGACTCACACAGGCAAGGGAAAACCATATGAATGTATGGCATGCGGGAAGAGCTTCAGTCAAAAAGGAGACCTTAAATTACACCAGCAGACTCACACAGGGGAGAATCCATTTAAAGCATGGAATGTGGAAAGAGCTTCAGTTTCAATGCAAGCCTTAGAAGACATCAACTGGCTCACACAGGGGGGAAACCATTTAAATGCATTGAGTGCGGAAAGAGCTTCAGTCAGAATGGAGACCTTAAAACACATCAACAGATTTACACAGGAGAAACCATATAAATGTGTGGAGTGTGGAAAGAGCTTCATTCAGATTGGAAACCTTAGAAAACATCAACGGACACACAGGGAAGAAACCATTTAAATGTATGGAGTTTGGAAGGAGCTTCAGTCCGAGTGGAACCCTTGATTTACATCAACAAACTCCCACATGAGAGAAACCATATAAATGTCAAGTAGACAGAGGTTCAGTCCTAGTGGAAGTCCTACATCAACAGACTCATGGACAGGAAGAACTTTAACAGTTGACACCCTACAAACCCATCAACCCTCAAAGAGGAGAAGCTGTTTAAAGGAAAAGATTGCAGAAAGTGCTTTAGTTATAATGGAGTGTTTAAGGAACATCTAAGGACTCAGAGGGGAGAACCCATTTAGATGTATGAAGTGAGGAACGTGTTCCTTTCAGAGTCCACTCTTTTGTTCACAGCAATGAACTCAACTTAGCAGAAAATCCATTTTAAAAGCATGTCATGTATTTGAAGTTCTGGTGTTTATATATAAAATTGTATAGTAATGAAATAATGAAGTATAATAGTGAGTATAATTTTAGATGTAAGGTACCTTTTGATAGTGAGGGGGAGTTGGTGAATCTGGATTTCTAGTGGTGAATGAGGATTAGGGCTGGGCGATCTATTAATCTCATCCTATACCGGTTTCTAGACCACATTGTGATAACTTTTCAAAAACAATTGATATGGCAACACACCACAGATCACAGTGCGTTTTTCTGGGAAAAACATTTGCCTGGAAGCAGCCGGCAGAAAGCTTTTCTTCGTGAAGCCCCTGCAGATGCTGAGTTTCTGACTTCCCTCCCAGACGACAGGAAGCGAAAGACACACCTCCATTGCCCTGTGTCCTTCCAGCCTCTTTCCTCCCTTGCTCCCTTCTGCCGGTTTGTGTGCCTGACTTGGATATCCTGTGTGCTCTATTTTTCTATTGCTGAAACTGGATTTGCTCTCAGGAGCTAAGTTTTGTGCCTCACTGGGGACCCAGTGAGAACTGTATGCTTTGAAAGCTCAGTAAACTGTTACTGAAGAAGTCCTGCTGCCTCTGTGTGTGTTTTTGACCTCAGTGTGGGACTTGCTCTACATGTGGCCCCTACCCTGCTGCTACTTGGCTCATACCCTGGAGTTGCTCTACTCCAGCATGCAAGACGGTTTTTGCACCAAACTCTGTCATCCCCCCACCGCATGATCTCCAAGCACTGATTCTTCACCCAAACTTCATCCCTGCCTCCTAAGCATTCTGAAGAAAACTGATAATACTGTAAGTTAATGGGTGATTTCCCCCCAAGCCTAATTGCAAGAGGGGAACGGAGGGGCTGCAGGGACCAGGGAAGTCTCCTGATGGGCCCATCTTCACTCTTGAACCCCATGGGGCAACCCCAGAGCTCCTCCTCATTCTGGGGTTTGGGGAAGGTAGTATTTTTCCATAGTCCCAGAAGTTTTTATTCAGTCATGCTGCTAGGGAGTTTTCCTACCAGAGGCCCACAGTTCATATTGCTATCATACTGATTTTACTGTTGTTTCTGCTTTTGCTGTCATGGAACAGCTGGGTGCAGGGGGGGGGAGGCACCAGTTGGGGGACCTACAAGGGAAGAAGGCTTAGATCCTGGGGACTTGTGGTGGGATGGCAGTGAGCAGAAAGAGGGAGGAAAGGGAGCAGAACGGGAGGGGAGGTGTCGCAAGCTGAGGAGGAAACAGGGTTTGGTGAGCGGGAAGAGTCTGGGGCAGAGAGCAGTTCAGGCTCGGAGGGAGGAGAGGAGGGGGCCAGGAGACCCAGAGGAGGCCGGCTGCTGAAGCATCCAGGGAGACTCCCCCTCCTGCTGTGACCAGCTCCCCTCTCCCCTGGTCTCCCAGAGCACACAGAGGAATCCAATTCAGACCCATGAGCCTGTACATTATATTAATGGGCGTAGGGTTTTTTTGTCCCAACATGCATCACTTTAATCTCATTGACAATGAACTGTATTTTCGGCCCATTCACCCCGTTTGGAGAAGTCCCTTTGGAGCTCCTTGCAATCTCTCTCCTTGCAATCTCTCTTTATTTGCTCCGGTTGGCTGGACTCCTTCCTTTATTCCGCAGGGACCCGCAGGCTCAGCCCGACGAGCTGGGGGACTGAGCAGCCTGGCACCTAGATTTTTCTGTAACACCCCCCTCCCAAAGAAAGGCTCAACCTCCACGCCCATGGGTGCCTGTTGCCAGCCCAGACCCTGGAGCATCTGCATCTCTGCCCCAGCTGGAAACGTGAGGAGGGGAAGTTAGGGGCTGCAGTGCTGGCAAACCTTGTCTCCCCCTCCCCGTCCAGACAGAGGAATGGCCTTGTGGGGTTGGACAAGAGAGTCCCATCTGGGTGGTGTGGAGTGGGCAGTGCGGGGGCTTCTAACTGTAAAGTAGGGAGGGCCCTCCTGAGTCATCTAGTTGAACCCCCAGCATAGTAGTAATCTCAGCTAAGCATCACAGGCAGGGGGCCATCCAAGCTCCCCCCACCCCACCAAAGGAAGGCACTCTCCCCACTGGCTGTGCTGTGCTGCCCTCTGAATGGCCCCTCCTGGCACACTTTCCTGTGGCCAGCGACTCTTCCCAGGGAGGGCATCTGAACAAGAGACCACGCCCTGGAGGGTGCTGTGTTGATGTCAGCCAGGCTAAGTGAAAGCAAAGCAGCTGCGCGTTGGCACTGAGGGTTCCCAGACTTCAGCCGGTGCCCTCCAGGTTTTCTGAGTGCAGGCATCGTGCTGGCTGGCACGGAGGGGAACTGCAGGCCAATCTGCCTAGGGGGCACCTGCGTGGAGATGGCGGTGCCAGGAAGAAGAGCAGCAGGTTCAGCCAGAGGCTCCTAAAGGCTCTGCCCAGTTTCTTGGTGTGGAAGATGTGACCAGCCAGCAGGGTGCTGGCCCCTCCTGGCCCCTGTTACCCAAGGTAAAGGACCCCTGGATGGTCAAGTCCAGCCAAAGGCGACTATGGGGACTTACTTCTGAGTAAGCGTGCATCAGATGGAACGGCAAATCCCTTTGAACCGCGTAGGGGTTACTCCTAAGTAAGCATGCATCAGGCAGGGCTGCAGAGTGGTGCTTCCAAAAGCAGCCAGTTTGCACATCTCATGGGATTTAATGTCTTGCCATTATAAATGCACGGGGATAAGTGCATTTATAGAGACACATTTCCGCAAAACACCCAAACTCCGGCATGTAGCCGCAGGTGATACAATAGGAGCCTTTCTGCAAATGGCCTTTGCAACACAACTCACTGGATGGTAACAAAGTATACACGTTTGCCTCTTTACAATGGATGCTTCCGCTTAGCCCCCTTTCCTCAATGAATCCACCCATTTCAGTAAAACCTGAGCTGAAATAGTAAGGAGAGCAAAACAGCAGCCCTGTCTGACCCTCGTCAGCCTCCTGATCTCCCCAGTCACGTGGCAGGAGATTCTTCCTGAGCCCCCCCCCCCCCCGTGAGACGGGTATGACATCATGGATGATCCACATGATCCAAGCAGACTCGTCCAAAGAGCAGATCTCTATGCCTGAAAGAAACGGGTCTGCGATGATGGATTCTGGAGTCAAGAAATCCTCCCTTTCCAGTGATCTCTCAGGCTGGCCAGGAAAAGGCAGGGAGCAGGAATCCTCAGGCATCCCGATGGACAGATTTGTCATGTTGCCAAAACATGAACTCGGAGTCTGATCTGATTTCCATGCAGAACTCATTTTGTGACTTCGCTGTTGGATTGTCGGGATCAGCCTCTCCTGATCCCCAGAAGGAAGACGGGGGGGGGGGATTTCTACTCCTCCTTCTCCCCCCACCCGCTCAAAACCTTCCCTCCCCTCCCGGCACATCCTTCTCTCATCCCGCCCACACAATCCCAAATCACACCCCCAATACATTGCTCCTCCTCCTCCTCCTCCTCCTCCTCCAATCCGGTTTCTGCTCCAGAAATGTGGGGCGGGGAGCCCCCCTCCCAACCTTTCTGCTTCTCCCGGAAGTGGAGCTTCCACTCCGGATTGCTGCTCTGCCCCATAGCTGGGGGGGGGGGCGCTTTCGGAAAGGGGAGGGAGGAGGCAGGGGACCCCCCCCCCGTGGATGTTGCAGAAAAGGAAAGGAGAATCGGGAGCGAGGAGAAAGAGGTAAAGGGGTCGCGGGGGGGGAGAGGGGGGGTAAGGACCCAGAGACCCCCGCCAGCTCCCCCAAGCGCCTTCCGTGGGGCCTGGATCCCGGCACGCGTGCTGCGAAGGGGGCTTTCCTCGCAGGGCGGACCCCTCACCCGTCTCCCCTGGCTCTGCGCGGAGAAAAGCGGCCCATGAAAGGGTTAAGGGGCGCGAGAGACGCCTGGATAGAGACCCCCCTGTCCCTCCCCTGCTTCTCTTGGGGGGGGCGCCTCTGGCTGGAGAGATGGGGGCGCAGGACGTCGGGTGAGCGGCGCCAAGGTAGCCTCTGGATGCAGGGGAGACTCCGGGAGAGAGGGATGGGGTCAAGGAAATCGGGGGGGGGAGGGAGAGGAGCATCCCTGGGGCAGGGAAGGGCAGCATTGGCGGCGGGGGGGGGGGAGAGAGATCGCGTCTCCATTGTGGCAGCTGCGGGGGATCTCTGGTGGAAGAGCCATGGCCTCTCTCTCCCGCCCAGTAATCGACCCCCCCCCCGTTCAAGGCGACCAGAGAGGGATCCCTGGAAAGTGGGGGGTCCTGTCCCCCCACCCTTCCTTCCTGCATTCTCCATCCTCTTCCTGCCCCATAAGCCCCTGCCCTGTCCAGACACAGCGATTCTGCCCAGTCCAACCATTGGTCCCCTGGAGAGGAGAGGAAATCCAGAGGAAGAGATGTCAGTATTTGTAAGAAGAAAACAAAAGCTTCTGGCCTCCCTTCGTCGCCTCAGCCTGGTCCTTGGGCCCTTGGCAGCATAAAAGATTATTATTATTATTATTATTACAGACGCTTCAGGTTACAGACTCCACTAACCCAGAAATAGTACCTCATGTTAAGAACTTTGCTTCAGGATGAAAACAGAAATCGTGCTCTGGCGGCGCGGCGGCAGCAGGAGGCCCCATTAGCTAAAGTGGTGCTTCAGGTTAAGAACAGTTTCAGGTTACGAATGGAACTCTGGAACGAATTAAGTACTTAACCCAAGGTACCACTGTATTCTAAAAAGTCTTTCTGCAAAAGCGACTGACCAACTGTACACACATCAACACTGCCAGCTTTCACCAACCAACCCAATACCAAACTAACATTTCTCACTCTATATATACAACCCGCAGCTTTTTAAGCATTAAAGAAACAGCGGCCAATTTTTAGCCGTGACAAGAGGGGAGGGGGGAGGCCTTCTCAGAAGCGGCTCTTGGTTTCCGCAATCCCACCCAGGAAGCAGCCAGAAGCCTTTTCCTCTCTCTCAGGCTTCCATCTTTAAGCGTCTTTTCCGCTGAGGATGAGGATAATGTACACCTGTCATCAGAAACAGGGGTGCAGAGTCCATGGAATGGCTCTCAGGATTGATACAGAAGTTGCACCTCAAAAGCATTTCTGTTCCTCTTGTTCTTTGTAGCCAAAGTCAGAGTGACTGACAAGCTGAGATGCAATCCATCAGCATCCGATGACAGCGACTGCACGTGACTGTCACGTGACAAAGACACATGAGAGCAGAAGCAGCAAAGCAGGCTGGGAAGTGCAGGGACCGCACAGTCATTTGGGCCTACTCAATTTATTCAGCCCTAACTGCTAACTGTGGAGTCATTCTGACATGTGACGTAGGAGCCAGTTGCACTTTGTGCTCTCTGTAAGATTTCAGCAAGAGTCTGTCTGTCTCAGCCGTGAGCAGAGTCTGTATGCAATCTCAGTCAAACTGTTTGGAACCATGCTGTTTATGAAGAAGCTTATTTTAATTCAGTAAAGCTTTTATTCTTTAAAACTCTGCATTATTAATTTATGCTGCGTGTCATCTTCCCAGTCAAAGGACCCATTTTCAGGATAGACAGTGCCTGTGGCTGGAGGCTCTACACACCGGGTGTGCCTGTGCAGGCCAAAGACTGCCAGTATTAGCACAGGTGAGGTGTGTGACCTCCCCAAATTTACAGACTGTAGATAAATGAGAAGTCATGGGTGGGATTATATTTTACAGCAACCCTGTGATTTTCTCCAGCCATAACATTTTGTGAGCTGATATAGCAGTACGAATTCCAAAATAACTTCTAAAAACCCCACAAGATCATCATCATCATCATCACCATCGCATTCATACCCCCAGGCCTTAGTTTGCCTCCCCATGATCTAGAGAAAACACCAGCTTTGAATCATACAGAGTAAAACTACCAGAACCTTCTTGAACCGATAGGTTAGGAATTATCGCTGTACTTAGATCCGTACTTTTCTATGCCTGAAAAATGCAACCATGACACTGGGAATGTTCAGGGATGCAGGAGAGGATATATTGTTTGATTATATCCTTTCCAACTTGTGTTAACAAGTTGTACAATTTATCAGAGTAACATTCCCCTCTTTAAACTTACAGCGGATGCATTTGCTCAGGCTCGCTAAAGCCTCTAAACTAAGTTTCCTTGGTAATTTCCACTTTAGTCCCTCATAAAAAGATAGACACGACACAGTCTTCTATAAAAGTATAAAAAGAGTTTACTCACACATTCTGTTCACAAATGGATCCCAGAAGGCAGTGACCCACAGGCTGCACACCTGGTCCTTCAGGGGCACAGTTACCCCATCAGGACCAGGAATACCCCCACCCTCCCCCAGGGACAGTATTTCTGACTTGTCAGGATTCAACCTCAATGTGTTAGCTGCCATCCATCATCCAACCACCTCCAGACACTCACGCAGGACCTTCACCATCTTCACTACTTCCGATTTGAAAGAGAGGAAGAGCTGGGCATCATCCACATACTGGTGAACACCCAGCCCAAACCCCCTGATGATCTCTCCCAGCAGCTTCATATAGATAGTAAAAAGCATGGGGGAGAGAATGGAGTCCTGAGGCACCCCACAAGTAAGCATCCAGGGGTCTGAACACTCATCCCCCAAGACCACTTTCTGGACATGGCCCAGGAGGAAGGAGGGGAACCACTGCATAGCAGGGCCCCCGGCTCCCCTAGAGGGTCCAGAAGGACACCATGGCCAAAGGTCTCCAAAGCCGCTGAGAAAACCAGGAAACAGCTTCCCCCTCAGCCTCTGGCCCGTTGGAGATCATCAACCAGCACAACCAGGGCAATTTCAGTCCCATGATGAGGCCTGAATCCCCATTGGAAGGATCATGGCGGCAGGAGCTTTCTTGGTCCTGCACCCCCAAAAGCTCCAGCCACAAGACTTTCATTAGCTTTCAAGGGGCCACATGATACACTGTGGTCTTTTCTTCGAAAAACAAATATTTTGAATACTTTTACAGTGCCGTATGATGTAAATATGGGATCCGGGTGGCGCTGTGGGTTAAACCACAGAGCGTAGGACTTGCCAATCAGAAGGTCAGCGGTTCGAATCCCCGTGATGCGGTGAGCTCCCATTGCTCGGTCCCTGCTCCTGCCAACCTAGCAGTTCGAAAGCACGTCAAAGTGCAGGTAGAGAAATAGGTACCGCTCTGGCGGGAAGGTAAACGGCGTTTCCATGCACTGCTCTGGTTCGCCAGAAGCGGCTCAGTCATGCTGGCCACATGACCCGGAAGCTGTATGCCGCTGGCTCCCTCGGCCAATAAAGCGAGATGAGCGCCGCAACCCCAGAGTCGGCCACGACTGGACCTAATAGTCAGTGGTCTCTTTACCTTTACCTTTATGATGTAAATTTTGTTTCTGTTTCCCTTGTTCCACATCGGAGAGACTTTGATACACAGCTCTGAGCCTATCTCCCCACTTGAAACTGCTGTGTTTGTAGCACTGCCAGCCTGGGCAGTGTGTTTGTGGGTCCTGGGCTGCCTAGCCAACAAGACCCCCTTCTCAGCCTGGCTGATATGGTCCCAAGGAAAGCAGAGCAGTACGTTAGGCACCAGCCTGGCTGCAGGAGTTGAATGAAGAAGGTGTGCAGGACACCATCCAACCATCTTAGAGACTCCACTCTGAAATTGTGTGGGTTTCCCTCCATAGCCTTTTCTTCTCCTGAACATAACTCACGAGGCAGTGAAGGTTTAGGACCAGAGTTTTCCTTCTCGATGGGCTCCCTTCCCCGGTTGACGATCCCATCTGCCCTTCACTTTCCTCTTCCGCACGGGCAGAATCTGCCTTCTAGACTGTGGGATTCACTGTTCTTCTCCTCCTCTCCATCCACCAGGGCTTGACTTCAGGTGCAGCAGAATTCCCCAGCCCCCCAAGGATTTGAGACCCATCAGCTATCCTCACCTGGTTTTGCCAGCCGGTTGAAGCCATTCCTGGGATTGTGGCCCCTGTTGCATCCTGACAGCTTCTGGAAGGCACAGGTGAGAGCTGAGTGCAGGGTGGGGACCACCAAAGGTACTACCACTCCCATGACACCTCATGACATCATATAATAGCTATATTTGAGACAGAACCGGAATAAATTCATGTCTCTAGAAATAACACAACTTCAGGCCATCAATAATTCAACACTACATATTCAAGGTTGAAGTTTTCACTAGTACAGTTATCCATTTGCCTTTAATATGCAGCTTTTCAGTGTCACTTTAGGATGGGCTCGAGATCAGGCAGCACATCATTATTATAAGGAACAGTGGGGGTCTGGGATTCCAATGTGCCAGCTGCTTTTCTTCTGCTTCTCCTGATAGAATCATAGAATCATAGAATCATAGAGTTGGAAGAGACCACAAGGGCCATCGAGTCCAACCCCCTGCCAAGCAGGAAACACCATCAGAGCACTCCTGACATATGGTTGTCAAGCCTCTGCTTAAAGACCTCCAAAGAAGGAGACTCCACCACACTCCTTGGCAGCAAATTCCACTGTTGAACAGCTCTTACTGTCAGGAAGTTCTTCCTAATGTTTAGGTGGAATCTTCTTTCTTGTAGTTTGGATCCATTGCTCCGTGTCCGCTTCTCTGGAGCAGCAGAAAACAACCTTTCTCCCACCTCTATGTGACATCCTTTTATATATTTGAACCCATATGGCTATCATATCACCCCTTAACCTCCTCTTCTCCAGGCTAAACATGCCCAGCTCCCTTAGCCGTTCCTCATAAGGCATCGTTTCCAGGCCTTTGACCATTTTGGTTGCCGTCCTCTGGACACGTTCCAGTTTGTCAGTGTCCTTCTTGAACTGTGGTGCCCAGAACTGGACACAGTACTCCAGGTGAGGTCTGACCAGAGCAGAATACAGTGGCACTATTACTTCCCTTGATCTAGATGCTATACTCCTATTGATGCAGCCCAGAATTGCATTGGCTTTTTTAGCTGCCGCGTCACACTGTTGGCTCATGTCAAGATTGTGGTCAAGCAAGACTCCTAGATCCTTTTCACCTGTACTGCTCTCAAGCCAGGTGTCACCCATCTTGTATTTGTGCCTCTCATTTTTTTTGCCCAAGTGCAATACTTTACATTTCTCCCTGCTCTCTCCATGCAATGTGAGGCATGTAGATGGAGGTCCATCTCCAAGAACAGGAGCTTCCCTGAGCACCCATTCAGCTGACCCCAAGCACCAAGCCTTGTCACTAGTTCTCTGACTGACCCAGACCACAGTCCCTGGAGAAGATGTAGACCTGGGTCTCCCAAAATGGTCCACATGGACCTCTTGTGGCCAATGAGACTGTGCAGGTGATTCATAAAGATCTAGAGGTGGATGCAGGATTATGATGCAGAGGATGGGGAATGTCCAAAGGAACGATGGACCAGAGAAAGAGAGGGCCCGTTCACGGACAGTGAGCAGCTGCCTTTCCTGTGAGGAAACAATTGATTTGAAAAGGCTGTATTCCAAGATCATGCTGCTTTATTAACAATGATTGAGGATTATGAAAGGTGGTGATGCATTACTATCATTTGATGACATTGCCTTTTCATTTCCAAAAAATTGGGAACATGGGTAGGAGGCGGGGGAATGTAGGAGATGTTGATATAAGACAATGCTAATGGCACTTGATGTGTTGTCTGTCCCTTTGTTCTCTTTCTTGTAACCCAAACAGGATTTTCTTTCTTCCCACTCTGAAGAAGGTGATGGAGAAGACATTCACAATTGCAAGGAATGGGGCACCTTTTGTTTCATGAGGAATAGAAATTAAAATGTGTGAAATGTGGGATATGCTTCATTGAATGAGGACACATAGCTCACATCAATGACTCCGAGAGGAGAAACCATTTAAAGGTATAGATTGTGGGAAAAGTTTCACTGATAGTGGAAAACGTAGAACACATCAGCGGATTTACATGGACAAGAAAGGATTACAATGCAGGAAGTGTGGAAGAACTTCAGTCAGAGAGGATTCCTCAATATACATCAGCGGACTCACACAGGGGAAAAACCATTTAAATGCATGGAATGCGGGAAAAGCTTCCGTCAGAGTGGACACTTAAGTTCACATCTACGGATTCACACGGGTGAAAAACCTTTTAAATGTATAGAGTGCGGAAAGAGCTTTAGTGATAGAGGAGACCTTAGAAAACATCAACGGAGTCACACAGGGGAGAAACCATATAAATGTATAGAGTGCGGAAAGAGCTTCAGTCAGAGTGGAGACCTTAGAAAACATCAACGGATTCACACAGGGGAGAAACCATTTCAATGTATGGAGTGTGGAAAAAGCTTCTGTCAGAGTAGACAGTTAAGTTCACATCTACGGATTCACACGGGTGAAAAACCTTTTAAATGCATGGAGTGTGGGAAGAGCTTCAGGCAGAATGGAGAACTTAAATTACACCAGCGAAGTCACACTGGTGAAAAACCATATAAATGTATGGAGTGTGGAAAGAGCTTCATTCAGAGTGGGCACCGCAATATGCATCAACGGACTCACACAGGGGAGAAACCATATAAATGTATAGAGTGTGGAAAGAGCTTTAGTGATACTGGAGACCTTAGAAAACATCAACGGAGTCACACAGGGGAGAAACCATATAAATGTATAGAGTGCGGAAAGAGCTTCAGTCAGAGTGGAGACCTTAGAAAACATCAACGGATTCACACAGGGGAGAAACCATTTCAATGTATGGAGTGTGGAAAAAGCTTCTGTCGGAGTGGATACTTAAGTTCACATCAACGGACTCACACGGGTGAAAAACCATATAAATGTATGGAGTGTGGAAAGAGCTTCAGTCGGAGTGGACACCTCAATAAACATCACCAGACTCACACAGGGGAGAAACCATATAAATGTATGGAGTGTGGAAAGAGCTTCAGTCAGAGTGGACACCTCAATAACCATCACCAGACTCACACAGGGGAGAAACCATATGAATGCAGGGAGTGTGGAAAGAGCTTCAGTCAGAGTGATAGACTTAGAATACATCAACGGACTCACACGGGTGAAAAACCATATAAATGTATGGAGTGTGGAAAGAGCTTCATTCAGAGTGGGCACCGCAATATGCATCAACGGACTCATACAGGGGAGAAACCATATAAATGTATGGAGTGCGGAAAGAGCTTCAGTCAAAATGGATACCTTAAAACACATCAACGGACTCACACAGGGGAGAAACCATATAAATGTATAGAATGTGGAAAGAGCTTCAGTTACAATTCAGGCCTTAGATCACATCAACGGACTCACACAGGCAAGGGAAAACCATATGAATGTATGGCATGCGGGAAGAGCTTCAGTCAAAAAGGAGACCTTAAATTACACCAGCAGACTCACACAGGGGAGAATCCATTTAAAGCATGGAATGTGGAAAGAGCTTCAGTTTCAATGCAAGCCTTAGAAGACATCAACTGGCTCACACAGGGGGGAAACCATTTAAATGCATTGAGTGCGGAAAGAGCTTCAGTCAGAATGGAGACCTTAAAACACATCAACGGATTTACACAGGGGAGAAACCATATAAATGTGTGGAGTGTGGAAAGAGCTTCATTCAGATTGGAAACCTTAGAAAACATCAACGGACTCATAAAGGGTGAAACCATTTAAATGCATGAAGTGCGGAAAAAGCTACAGTCAAAGGGGAAATCTTCGAAAACCTCAGCAGACACACAGGGAAGAAACCATTTAAATGTATGGAGTTTGGAAGGAGCTTCAGTCCGAGTGGAACCCTTGATTTACATCAACAAACTCCCACATGAGAGAAACCATATAAATGTCAAGTAGACAGAGGTTCAGTCCTAGTGGAAGTCCTACATCAACAGACTCATGGACAGGAAGAACTTTTACAGTTGACACCCTACAAACCCATCAACCCTCAAAGAGGAGAAGCTGTTTAAAGGGAAAGATTGCAGAAAGTGCTTTAGTTATAATGGAGTGTTTAAGGAACATCTAAGGACTCAGAGGGGAGAACCCATTTAGATGTATGGATTGTGGGACGTGTTCCTTTCAGAGTCCACTCTTTTGTTCACAGCAATGAACTCAACTTAGCAGAAAATCCATTTTAAAAGCATGTCATGTATTTAAAGTTCTGGTGTTTATATATAAAATTGTATAGTAATGAAATAATGAAGGTAATGTCTCACAATAGTGAGTATAATTTTATTTTATTTTTTTAAATGATATTTATTCCAAATTTACAATCACAGAAAAAAAGAAAAACCATACAGAATACAAAGAACACTTCGACCATAACAGAGCAAAAAATAAACAAGTAAAAAGAACAACAAGATAGAATAAAAAAAAACTTAACAAAAAATATAAAAATGTATTAAGTTAAAAACAAAACAAAAACATATTAAACCTTTACATATCCTTTTCCCTTTACTTATTTCCAATGACCTCCTCTCACCTCCCAATTTTGTTTTCTTGTTCAGATCGTATTTCCAGCAAATCCCTCTAATCTTATTTTCATTTACATATTTTAAAATTGAAATAATATAATTAAACCTCCTCTATTTCATCAAATTCATCAACTCATTTTTGCTGACCATTATATCATATCTACCAAAATGACCAACCTCCTTTTTCCAACCTCCTTCTAACATTCTTTTATATTGCAATACTTTTGAAGATATATTTTGAATTTTTTCCAGTCTTCTTCCATCGACCCTTCTCCCTGGTCTCGAATTCTGCCGGTCATCTCAGCCAGTTCCATATAGTCCATCACTTTCATCTGCCATTCTTCTCGGGTGGGCAATTCTTGTGTCTTCCAGTACTTCCCGATGAGTATTCTTGCTGCTGTTGTAGCATACATAAAGAAAGTTCTATCCTCCCTTCGCACCAATTGGCCGACCATGCCCAGAAGAAAGGCCTCTGGTTTCTTCAGAAAGGTATACTTAAATACCTTTTTCAGTTCATTATATATCATTTCCCAGAAAGCCTTAATCCTTGGGCATGTCCACCAAAGGTGAAAAAAAGTACCCTCCGTCTCTTTACATTTCCAACATTTACTATCTGGCAAATGATAGATTTTTGCTAGCTTGACTGGGGTTAAGTACCACCTGTAAATCATTTTCATTATATTTTCTCTTAAGTCATTACAAGCCGTAAATTTCATACCTGTGGTCCATAACTGTTCCCAGTCAGCAAACATAATGTTATGTCCAAAATCTTGTGCCCATTTAATCATGACAGATTTAACCATTTCATCCTGTGTATTCCATTTTAACAGCAAGTTATACATTCTTGATAAATTCTTGGTTTTAGGGTCTAACAATTCTGTTTCCAGTTTTGATTTTTCCTCCTGGAAACCAATCTTTTTATCTAAATTATAAGCCTCCCTTATTTGATAATAATGAAGCCAGTCTCAAACTTTAGTTTTTAGTTTGTCAAAACTCTGCAGCTTTAGTCTATCTCCATCTTGTTCTAAAATTTCACAATATTTTGGCCAATTTGTCTCCATATTAGTTTTTTTCAGAGCCTTTGCCTCCATTGGTGACAGCCACGTTGGTGTTTTACTTTCCAACAAATCCTTATATCTCACCCAGACATTAAACAATGCTTTCCTGACAATATGGTTCTTAAAGGCCTTATGTGCTTTAACCTTGTCATACCATAAATATGCATGCCATCCAAAGACATTGTCAAAACCTTCTAAGTCCAAAATGTCCGTGTTTTCAAGAAGCAGCCAATCTTTCAGCCAGCAAAATGCGGCTGATTCATAATAAAGTTTAAGGTCTGGCAGGGCAAATCCACCTCTTTCTTTAGCATCAGTTAAAATCTTAAATTTTATTCTTGGCTTCTTGCCCTGCCAGACAAATCTCGAAATATCTCTCTGCCATTTCTTGAAACAGTCCATCTTGTCCAAAATCTGCAATGTTTGAAACAAAAACAACATCCTAGGCAATACATTCATCTTTATCACAGCAATTCGGCCCAACAATAACTTCAATTTTGACCATATTCCAAATCCTTCTTTACTTCTATCCAACATTTTTCATAATTATCTTTAAATAAATTCACATTTTTAGCAGTCATATGAACCCCTAGATATTTCACTTTCTTAACCAATGTTAATCCTGTCTCCTTCTGAAACCTCTCTTTCTCAATCTCTGTAAGATTTTTCTCTAACGCCTTGGTTTTCACCTTATTCAATTTAAATCCTGCTACTTGACCAAATTCTTGGATTAATTGCAATACTCTTTTTGTACTGGATTCTGGCTCCTGTAGTGTCAAAACCAAATCATCAGCAAAAGCTTTCAATTTATACTGTTTAGCTCCGAGTTGTATACCTTTAACCAATTGTTCTTTCCTGATCATATTAAGCAAAACCTCCAGGACCGATATAAAAAGCAATGGGGAGATTGGGCAACCCTGTCTTGTTCCTTTCTCAATCTTAAACTCTTCTGTAACTACATTATTTACAATCAACTTAGCTTTTTGTTCCGAATAAATTGCACCTATACCGTTTTCAAAACTTTGGCCTACTCCCATTCCCTGTAAATTTTTCTTCATAAAACTCCAGGAAATATTATCAAAGGCTTTCTCCGCATCCACAAATATTAGAACTGCTTTAGTATTAATATTGACTTGTATTTTTTCTAAAATATTAATGATGTTCCTCGTATTGTCTGACAAATGCCTCCCCGGGAGAAAGCCCGCTTGGTCCTTATGGATTTCTTTCACCAATACTTTTTTTAATCTTTTAGCCATAATTTCTGCAAAAATTTTGTAATCCACATTAAGTAGGGATATGGGACGGTAGTTCTTAAACTGTGTCTTTTCCACTTCTGTTTTCGGTATAAGTGTAATATAAGCTTCTTTCCACGACTCGGGTGCCTTTTCCCCCCCTAATATTTCATTGCAAACTTCTTTCAAAGGCTGCATTAACCATTCTTTCAGAGATTTAGAATACTTTGCAGTCAAACCATCTGGCCCTGGAGATTTGCCCAATTTCATGTCCTGAATGGCTCCTTCCACCTCTTGATCAGATATTGTAGAGTTTAGCATCGATTTACTCTCTTGAGAGATTTTTTGTAATCCATTTGTTCTCAAAAATCGATCAATGTCTATTTCTTTCTGAGTCTCCTGCGTGTATAACTGTTTAAAGTATTTCTGAAAACACTTTCTAATATCCACAGGGTTCTGTATACTCTTTCCTTCTACTACCAAGTTCGTAATAGTGTTAAACTTTTGTCTTTTTTTCATTTGCCATGCCAGCAATTTCCCACACTTATTCGCTGATTCAAATGTCCTTTGTCTCATCTGTTTGATCTTCCATTCTATTTCCTGATTCGTCAATTTCATATATTGTACTTGATATAACTTTATCTCTTTTAAAATCTCCTGTGAATTCGGTTTTACCCTCAATCTCTTTTCTCCATCCTTTATTTTCTCCAAAATTTTTTCTCTCTTCTCGTTTTGGACTCTTTTCCTAATTGCATTTTGTTGTATCAAGAACCCTCTCATCACTGCTTTGCTTGCGTCCCAAATCACTCTTTTCTCGGTCGTAGCGTTCATGTTTATCTCAAAGTAATCTCTCAAGTTTTTCTGGGCCTTTTTAATGATTTCCTCATTCCTAAACAAGGAGTCATTCATCCTCCATCTAAAAGCTCCAATTGGCGTTAATACCATTTCAATCTTTACTGGGTTGTGATCAGAGCAGGTTTTAGGACCAATTACCGCTTTTTTTATCTTCGGGGCCAGTCCCCTAGTTATCCAAATTTGGTCTATTCTTGTCCATGTCATTTTGGCTTCAGAGAAGAAGGTTCCTTCTCTTTCCAAGGGGTTCTTTATTCTCCAAATATCTACAAGGTCCATATTATCAGTCATTTAAAAAAATGTCTTTGGTAGTCTGCCATCTTTCATCACCGTTTGTCATTGGGCTTTATCCATATTTGTAGACACTACTCCATTCATATCTCCCATCAAAATTATGTTGTAATCCAAATAGTCCAATAGGATTTCATGCAGTTTTTTAAAGAATTCTGATTTTCCTTCATTTGGCGCATAGATGCCTAATGTCAAAAACTTCTGACCATGAAGCTGAATTTCAATTGCAATAAATCTTCCTTGGTCATCTTTAAATAAAAATTTTGGTGACAGGCTTTCCTTTGCATAAAGTACTACTCCTCTTTTTTTTACATTGTCTGATGAAATAAATTCTTCTCCTAGTCTTTTATTGATCAAAATTTTCCGATGTAGCCTTGTCACATGCGTTTCTTGTAAACAAATCAAGTCCAAATGTTCTTTTTTTAATATATGAAATACTCTCCCCCTTTCCCCCCGGGAGTTCAATCCATTAATATTCCAGCTTAGTACTTGCAGTGTCATGTTGTACTTACTCTCCTTCTCCCCCAACAGCCCCCAAGAGTTTATCTATATCTGTCGGTGGCGTTGATTTCCCTTTTTTTTGTGGACTCTTGTCCAGTACGGCAGGCTCTTTTCCCAGTCCTTTCTGTAGATCTTCTTCGTATGTACTCAGGAACTTATTTTTTTCCTCCACTGATCTTATCTTTATCTTTCTTCCCTTGAAACTAAAAGATAGGCCTTGAGGGAATTCCTACCTGAAAAGAATCTTACTTTTTCTCAACAGGGCCACCAGGTCTCCAAAATCTTATCTTAAATCCAAAAGATGTTTCGGTATGTCTTTAAAAATTTCCACTTTTGATTGCAGAATTGTCAAAGGTTTCTCGTAGTGCAAACCTAAAATTTTATCCCTCTCTTCTTTAGATCGGAGGGTAATCAAACAATCCCTTATTTTAATCTTTTTTCCTCCTTTTCCCAATCTAAAGGCCCTCACAATCTTGAAATCTTCTTGTTTCAAATCCGATTTCCAAAATTCTGCAAATTCTTGTGTCAGAAAATCTATCAAGGTGCCCGTCTCCAGCTCAGGAACAGCTCTAATTCTTAAATTGGTTTGTTTCTCTCTGAGTTCAATCATAGACAGCGTCAACTTATGATCTGCAATTTCTTTCTGTAGGCCAGGTACCTTCTCAGTTTCCAGCTGCTCTACTTTAAATTCCACAGCAGCAGTTTTTTCCTGTGTAGACTCCTGCAATAGTCTCTGAATGGATTCTGTGTTGCTGTTCACCTTTTTCCCCAAGTTGTCTAATGTTTCTGTATTTAAATCAATTTTTTTATTTGCAGTATCAACTTTCTTATTTGTTTCTTCAACCTTTTTATTTGTCTCATCAACCTTTGTACTAAGTTGTAATAAAGTTTCATTAATCCTGGCCAGAGCACTGGCTAGAACTTCT